GCTGGTTGTTATCGCTGCTCAAGCGAAATCGATGCAGGGAATCTGCCAAACGAGTTTCGCGTATTCGTCCGCGTAGCCGAATTGCCTACCCGGAGTGCCGGATCGTCTATACTACACCGCACCACCGTCGTCGCTGCCAAACTATAAGTTTTGTCCACGTTAATCTGACACTAGTGGCGTGCGCAGGGGGAGAGGAAGTATTGAGGAATATATCCCCTCATCCTACTGGTTTATTGAAAATGCAACAACTAATAATATGAGACTCGTAGAATTATTTATTTAATCATCATTTTATATTTATCTTGATAATGTATATTGTAGCCAAGTTACAAGGACAAAAAGCGTCATTGATTAAATGAAAATTGGCTTTTTCGGATCCGACTTTAAAAATTTTCACTGTTGGATTATGTGTAACAAAAGAAGATTCTACGGGTTACACGTGAATCATGATTGTTATTTACCACTTCGTCTCCCGACGAAAATTCCAGGGCAAACCATTGGCTGGTACTGCAAACTTAGCAGTACGTAACAATAGGTAGATAATTCTGTAAATACTAAATTTGATGTATCCCGTCCCTGTATATGTAAGTACGGAGAAAACACTAAGCACTACGAACTTCGGCGTTGAATTAACTTTTGATATTTCATCGAACAAATTCCAACAGTTGTCCATAAAGTCTACACCCAAAGACGAATTTCGCGGTGGAGTTCATCGTTGTGTCCAACGGTAAAAAAACCATTCGGGAAACGGCAATAATGAGGTACGGATGGGGGAAAATATAAATCATATTTCGTTACATTCCCGACCGGAAATTCGCTTCCGGTGATATGTCGAAAAATAATAACCGGGATGTTTACGAAAATCGGATGTCCACGCCACGCGAACTGACACGAAAAACCGTCAAAATCCATTAGTTTTTTTTTTTTCACATTAGCTAGTGTCTTTCGCGCGTGCGGTCATTGATTAATATAACACTATAGTTTGTCTCGCCATTCCCCCCTATCCACGCACAAAACCAATTACAATACTCGGGGAAAGTGCAGTTTTTTTGTCGATTTTATTTATTGTTTTCCGCTTGAAAACAATGATTCTAACGCGATAAATTATACAGGCGCCTATTATACCTACCTACGCCCGGACGTTTTTCGAATTAATTCAATACGCAAACACAAATATTTTATCGCTAAAAGACCAATATCGTTCCGCCAACACCTGTTTAAATAACAAACGTCAGTTTTCAAAACCACCCACAACGCCTTTTATTATTATTATTATTATACCCATTTAGTATTTACTAGCCGTGAACAGTGGTGGCGTGAACTATTTGAAACAATGAAGCTACCATAATTAATATTCGACTGTATAGTTGCCACCGCATAAATTTCATCAAACAGACCACACCGTGATCGTGATTGTCTACACAAATGCCTTAAAAACGGTTCGTACCTATAATGCCGTAATATCCATTATCTAATACGTTAGGCGTAGTTACGTTACACGTCTTGCTCGGCTAATTAATAGCCGCGCGCGTGCATGCAATACATGATATGTGTATCAAAATATCATCTTTAAGGGTACCGCCGACACCGCAGCCTCACGAAACACCGTATCACGCCGCCACTGGTTATCATTCAAAGTAAAACCGACACCCGTATAGCACTCATCGCTTTGCTCCTCGGCGCGTAATGTAGGACAATGAGGAGAAAAAAATTTAGACAAAATTAATAAAGATTTATTCGTCATTTAATTTCGCGCTCGTGTATAGAGCCGTACCGGTTTTTTATTTTAATTGAAAAACCGAAATTAAAAAATTCCATATGTACATTAAAATTGTATTTTTGCTAGTATTTTATGTTACGAATTATTATAATAGTCAGATGCTGAGGTGTCTGCCGAGTTTGACTTCTAAGTAACAGTCATCCATTTTTACGCGCCGTTGATAAATATGTCCAATTTTCTACGGGCTACGGGTTTTTAATAAAATTTTAGGCGATTAAGGAATTACGGGGTCTACAACATTCTCAACCATACCTATAACTAAAATAAAAAAAATTTAGTAGGGAGATTACAACAACTAAACCCCCATGGCTACGCCACTGATTGCCGTCACCTTGGAACCTTTTTACTTGTCGGCATCTAACGGGGAGAGACAAAAAAAAAATCCGGTTTTTAAAATTATTGCCATCACTTCAAATTTGTATATAATATACATATATATATATAGAAAAAGTCCGAGTTGACGGTAAATAATATATTACAAAACTTTTTCAGAGAACAAAATTTATATTACAACGTCGCGGTCGTCGAGACAAAAAAACAAAAACCGGTAGAAGTGCGAAAAGAACTCCGTAATGAGTTTCACGAGAACGCTATCTGTCAAGGATAATTGAGACGGGTGTTTCCAAACACTTGGGGTAAAAATTATCCGAATTATTTCGTCTTTTGACCACGAACTATAAAATAAGAACATGCGAACTGAAAACGTAAAATCACATTAAAAAAAAAAAATCGACTTTTATCTTAAACGCGAATGTTTTCTCTTGTAAAAAAAAAAAAAAGAATAGCCGGTACACCTGACGGGTGTGTAACTGCTGACACCCGGGCAACCTGGGCATATCCGACCGGACCCCAGCCGTGTAGACTCCTTTGGCGAAAATGTTAGAGTAGACAATAGATTTAAAAAACAAACAAATACACATACAAATAGTTGTGCTACAACACATTATATTATTATAAGTTATTGTACAATACAGAATGAATATTATACCAGTGAGCTAAAAATACCAAAACTGATAATTCTCCTTATCGACCCATGTAGATTTTATCTTACATTCACATATTATTATCGTCAAATTGCTTAATAATTGCCGTTTATGTTTTTTCAGCGAGTAGTTATGGATTATTATAAAAGATTAAAGAAGAAAATTTTTTGATAAATAAATATAAAATATATGTATTATTAATTATTCCCAGACCGACTTTTCAGAAAGGAGGTCATTTTTCGATTTTCCAATGAGTTTTCCAAACAAATTAGAAAAACCGGGAAAAACTGAAGGAAAATGGAAAATGTACGAAATATAAGCGCTAATTGATGATAATAATAACATTTTTATTTTTTGGGAACAACTTTTCTACAAGCAATTTTGTTCAAACATACAACTATAGCATTTTTTCTAAAAGTAAATCTGACTGAGGAGATATCATAGGTTTTTCGATTTACACGGGAGTTTTCTCGACATATTTGAAAAACCGAAAAAAAACAACCGGAAAATGTACGAAATGTATTAGTAAAATATTACAGCCTTTTTTTTTTCTTGTGAACAACTCTTTTACCGGTAATTTTGCTCCAACTTATAATGACAGTAATTTTTCTAAAAGGAAATTTCACTGGGGAGACACATTAAGGAGGTCGTTTTTCGATTTTCCAAGGAGTTTTCCCAATAAATGGGAAAAACCAGTGGAAAACATTGGAAAATCGAGAAAAACGTAGATAAATCAGGAAAATCGGTACTATATTAATCAAATATTTTTTAAGAAAAAACATAATGCCTACTTAATTATTTGACCATAATATGACACATATATTGTTGACAAAGCAACACTATCGATGGAACTCTGCTCAGAATCGTGTTTTCGTTAGCAATGGTTCACCGTGGCTTACAAATGTGCATTCAATTTTCTCTACCTTCACAATTTCTTACCTACAACAGTGACAAAGTACGACCGTTTTTTTTTTTTTCGTTTTCCTATTTAATGTAGGAAGTAAATTTAATTACATTTATTTGGATTTCAATTGAAAGATGTAAAAATAGTTTAAAATTTTTTATTGATTTGAATAACCTCACTACACTTATTTTAGATTCTGAGAGGAGCAACGACTGTATCGGTTTTACAGTGATATTTAATTAAATATAGTAAATAAATATATAAATAAACGATTTATACATAGAAATAAAAAATAAATTAATCAATAAATGCGTCGCCTAGAGTATTGTGATGGTGTATTATAATAAAAATACAAATATAATACTTTGAAGTATAAAAACGTGCAGCAAAGTTTTCTAAAATTGAATTTTCCTGAGATGGTACTTTAAGGAGGTAATTTTTTTTTTTTATTTTCCCTGGGGTTTTCATGATAAATTGAAAAAAAACACGTCCTTGGATAATGGGGACGGGTGCAGCCACTGTTATAGGTAATTTAATGTATACCTGTAAGTAACGATAAGCCGTAGCTTACGGAAATACGATTCTGAGCGGAGTCCAGTTGATAGCGATGATTCGTCAATAATACACATGCCATAAAATAGTAAAATAATTATATAGGCTCCATATTTATTTTTAATAATATTTGATCAATGTCGTACCGATTTCCCGTGTTTATCCCCACCAGTTCTTCACGTTTTGTAAAAAAAATTCGTAATAACCCACGAATATATTTCGTACGCGTGTGTATTGCTGATAAAACAGCATATCGACCGAACTCCGCTCGGAATCGTTTTTCCCAGCAACGCAATCAATAGCGCTTGCGAATTGAACGGCTCGGCGAAACCCCACCAGACGAACAGAACTTGTTCGGGAATCACGAAAATCCAGCCATTTATCTATAGAGACCCGTCTTTTTTTCTCGGCCCAGGATCCGGTCGAACCCGGAACAAATATCCCAGTCTGCTCACTGTTCTCGTACTTGCACCGGTGTGTAACGGGTCGACCCCTAACCTGTCTGGCGAAAGTCGTTTTCCGGGGGACCCGTCTCGCCGGCGCACCGGGGGCCCCGTTCGATTTCGCATTCGGTATCGTCGCGCATCGCGTCACACGTTCGACTAACCCGACTGACGTTACCCCGTAGTAGGCGCAATCGCACACGCGCCGTTGCCGCGTCGTCGTGCCTTCGCCGGGACACGTCCGCAGGCCACCCCGAAGCGAGTGTAGCGGGTTTTCGGTCGACGGCGTCGCGGCACGGACGTGTCGATCAAACGCGCGCGACGTGTGTACGCGCAATCAATCGACGGGTACCGGGCGATAATATTATTTATCACTCCGGTTCCACCCCGGTCGTCACCACGCCCCGGGTCGGCCGGGTGCCGCCGACCGAGAGGAATATCGATTTCTTCGTCGACTCTCAAAGTATTAAAAAAAATTTAACCGCTCAGAACGTCCATCCACCACGACGGGTATATTCCGCAAGCAGATCATCGTTGCTGGAATGACCCATGATCGCGGAACGATCGGGTCACCGGCAGGTCTCACGCTTAGGGCGGATGAAACGGTGTCATCACCGCGGTCTTTTACCTCCAGATCTGCACCTGGAGGACGCGAATCGTACCCGCAAGGAACCGAGATCCCGTAGCGGGCAGAATCGTGATCGTTGACACCGAGACCGGCCTTACTTATAACAAAACCCGCCGGCTCGACCCGGTCACCGGGGCGCGTAAACGGAACGAATTTACGTTTTTTGCGAGTCGTTCCGGTAGACTGGACCACGTTCGGGTAGCGCCGCACGGCGGATCATACGGAAACCGAATGACACGGTGTTCGGCTTTCGGCCGTTTAGCAGCGCAAAGTCAGAAAGTCCACAGAATCTCGGGCAGATCTAAACGGAGAATCGCCGCAGCGCCATCTATCCTCGCGTGTCCGCGTCGAACAATCCGGTTCGTCCGTTAAACGACAGGGGCGGTTTTGAACATATCAATAATCTGATATTATTGTTGACGGGCGTTGAAATCCCGAAAAACCCGGACTACAACGTACTTACGTAAGTACCTAATGTCACAACTAGCTATGAATTTTTAACATTTTTATCATTACAGATTACAACATAGTGTCGTAAATCTAATATAAAAAGTACACAATTCCCAAAATTACAAACGATTTAAAAAGGAACAGAATATTACTTAATTTATACAACGTCTAGAAAATAATTATAATGTTATATTAAATTATATACGGTTTATTTCCGTTTTCCCTTACCTTGGAAGTCCATAGAAGATTCGGTTTTCAGTAGTCAATCCAAGAGGGTGCACACCTATGGCGCGCTCTATCGGACAGAAAAGGAGTATATTCTACTTTTTGTCACAAAAATGTATACACTATACACAAATCATCACCATACCACAAATTCTTGGAGTCACCAGTCACAATTTGATAACCATTTTGGTATGGTTACAATTCATATTAGCCTGTGAGGTGATGAAGATATTTGTTTAACTTATATCGTTTAAAGATGACTTACCCCCTCATACTGTTGCAAAATAATGAGACTTATTTTACACGATAGATAATGAAACAATAACTTTAACAGATACGATAATACTGTTAACAATAAGTAACGCCGGCGGTTTAACGAGGAGAAATAATAATTCTGGACAGGATGATGAAAAGTCAGTCTTTCCAAGGTGGTCACAAAATGTTGTGACCGATTTGTAAAAAGTCTAACCGGTAAAACCAAGGGAATTTCATAATTTTGTAACAGATTCTAATTTGAGGGGAAATAGTCACTAGTTACTCTTAAAGAATTTGTGGATAGGGTCCATAAACAAGGAAATTAATGTTTTTATTGTTACAAACAAAAATTATTTTTTTCTAATAGTAATACATTAAAGCGGTAATTGGGTTAATACAATAAAATAAACAAGGGGTGAATAATGTTTTTGACAAAAAAAGTTTATTTTTATTTAAGTTTTAAAATCATAGACTACAGATTTGATATTTTCGAAAATTCTATTAAAGCAGTTTATTTTTTTATTTTTTGAAAAATTTACAATATTGAAATATTAATCATATTGAACAGACCCATTAAATGGGCAATATTTTATTTATTTCAAATATTTATTGTACACAACAATACATGTTTATGTTTACATTAACAACATTTTTTTGTACTGTTTTCATCATAACAATTACAACTAAACTTATAAAATCTAATTTGTTTGTTTACATAGTGTATTAAAAATATTTTTGAAAAAAAAATATATATATTTTTGGCACAGTTTAATACAAATAAAAAATAAGAGAATGTATACAAAATAATTTTAAGAATACTTTTTAGTTCAGTTAAACAAAAAAAAATATGATTTATGAGTAATTTAAGACTGCATGGGACTTTATCAATTTTATTTTCGATTAATAATCACTTTTATTATCTTAGTAATAAACAAAAAAACTTAAAATTAAGACTAAATGCTGTTGAGAAAAAAAAATATACCTCATCGATCAACAAAAATAACAATAATAGAACAATAGAGGTGCTTATTTGAAACATAACATTTTAACATAATTTAATAATACAATATATTTTAAAACTCTATATATTTTAATAATGTTTAAACATTCTTAACTAAGTACTACTCTCAATAGTAAAGAATAATATTATATAGTAATTAATTACTGCAAAAATAATAAACAGTGTAATAAACAATTATTACAAAACAAAATATAATAAAAGTTAATTAACTTTTTTATTTAATTGTGTGTTTATTGCATGGTAATAAAAAAAATGTATACCCTGAAACACATTGGTTTTAATATTTACTTTATATTATAATTTATTTTTATAGACTATATTTAATAAATAGGTATTTGAAAAAATCAGGTTGGTTGATGAAATATTTCATCAACAAACATTTTTTACATACAGTAAATTACATAATAATGATTGCTTAACTTCTAATATACCTAAATTACTTTGTAACAAATAGAAATTGCATAACATTAAACAAAATTGAATGTAATTAATGACAAGGCACTAATATTACAAGAGTTAAATATTTTTTTTGTTTTGTTAAACATTATGCGTGATTATAAATATATATATATATAAATTATTAATATTATTTGTTTACGATATAATTATGTGACAAACATAATAAAAAATTAAAAGTTTAAAATACCTAGTGAACACATAAAAATAAAAAGTGAGATCCATTACATACATCACTTTTTTCTTCACTAAATCTAATAGACTTTGTATACATAAATATAAAGTAGTTTTTTTTTTTCAAGGAAAATATTTTGTTTAAAAATCAAACGAATAAAAATTTTTTTAAGTTATTTTAGGAGCGGGAGCCAGTCCTTTAGCAAAAAAAAAAAAAAAAAAGAAAAACCTATAACATATTATTTTTATTTCGCCTAATTGAATAAATTGACGTCTTTTGTTTTAAAAAACTATGGAACCCCATTTGTTTTAGTTGATTTCATTTTTAAGAATGAAAATGATCATTCAGTTGAAGGACCGAATGTTGTTTACCTAGAAATACAATAATTTTCAATTACTGATCCAGATAAACATACGTTTATGAAAATATTAAATACCTTGATCATCAGTAGTTAAAGAATCACCATTGCCATTCATTGGGCAGCAATATTGGTTTTCATTATAATGGTTATTATTGATTGTAGTGTTGTGTTTGTATTTGTCACCAAATGGCGGACACAACTCAGTAGGCATAGGTACCTGCGATGGATGCGGTGCTTGCGGCGAAGAACTATTGATCAATGTCATAGGACTCATGTTGAAAATATTCGGATGCAACTTCAAATCGGGAAGTTTCACAACAGGTGTCTAAAGAAAAATATTTATTAATTACAGAAAAATATGATGCATAATGTTAAAACTGTTAAAATAATAGTTATAAAAATTCAGATAGTGTTAAATCGCTTCCGAGTGTTGATCACATGAAAGTATATTTATTAATTAATTTAGCAGCTGCTATAAGAAGTCAGGAAATGATAAAAATCTCAACTGACTTCTCGACAAACAACGCATGAGTAAATAATAAGTATCTATCATCAGCTCGGCCTAATGAAATATCATCATTTCACTTTTAAATAAATAAATCATAAACAATATATAAATAATAATATAATATGACTAGAATAAAATCAGATTTTGGGCATTTTAAAAACACATAAAAATAAGTTTGTAAAACAAAATTCCGGACAAATGTAGTCTACAGATCTATCGCATTACAACTAATTTCTATCATATGGCCCCCAAGATCATCATATTTAATGTATACATATTCAATTTATCTGAAAATTATCCCTATTATTAGTTATTACATTAGTCATTTTGACTCAAATAAAACTTTTATGTAAATATTATGTATTCATATTAAATATAAAACTTACAACCATATAATACAATTGTTATTTATTTATGTTTTGATATTTGTCAAGTTTACATAATACAGTTTCTTAAAAATAAAATTAGTTGTCATTTGAAGTGTACATGCTGCAAAATGCAAATAATATACATTTTAGTGCAAAATAATAACTATTTTTAAGTTGATCAGTATATTAATCGCTTCCGAGAATGATCATGCAAAAATGTTTAAAATGGATTGACTATTTTTTCAATGTTGGGAAAATAATCTCAACCAACAGATAAATAGTAAATCCTATTTTTTTTTTTTTAAACATTAAGTCAGACTCGGCCTGTTATCATCATTTTCAACAAAAAATTATTAAACTTATGATATTAACATATTAATATAATAATTAAAAGGTCATTTTTAAAACTTTAGAAAGCGAAAATTATTTATAATAATTATAACTAAAAGACACACAATATTCAAAAGCACTGTCATATGTCATATGACATACTTATTATATTATATTATGAAACCCATTCCACAAAAATGTAGATCCTTCTGATGAAGTAAAAACAATCAGTTTAAAATTCAGTAAACAATTTTTATAAATCCTAAATATTTACATAACAAGGTGTTCTACAGTGTTGTTTGAATGCTAATAACTACTGTCAATATTCATTAATTTAAACAATTTCTTTTTTTCAATCGGATTGAAGCAATATTAAATTTTAATTACATCCCTGAATCACTGGAAAAAAATTACTTTTTATTTTTTTCACCTTTTAAAATAACCAATTTGTAAAATGTATTATTTTTATCATTTTAATGTACCATACTTACATATTCGATCAACAGTTTTTTAGTAATTACACAATTTTAATTTTTGGAAAATTGATGTGAAAATAATTAATTTTCAATAGGATAAATAGAATAACACGTTACACAATAAGGAATCATAATCAAAAAGATAATTCTTTATCTTCCATTGAATATTTATTGTATTAAAGCCTATTTTCTATAAATTAAAGCTGCTATAACTAAAAACTTATTAATCGGATATCAATATATGATACATTTAAATTTTTAGAATAATATATATTTTACAAATAGGCTATTTTGAAAAAAAAATTTCAACTGATTAAGGGATAAAAATAAAAAAATGAACATTGACAAAGTTATTAGCATTTGAATAACACTCTATATAAGTTGACTTTAAATTATAATAAAACAGAAAATGCAGTTGTTCTACATGTATTAAGTATTTTAACATTATTACCTTATTTTCATCTAGTGGCGTTATAGTATTATCACTGAAACTATCTCCGTTATTCATTGAATTTATCATGGTTTTACTATAATTATTTTCTATTCGATAATCAGAAGCGGGTAATTTCATTATACTATTCGGTAAACTAATACCTACACCTGTTAAAAATTTAATAAATTAATATGTATTAACAATATAATATCTCAGACTTGTTTTTAAATTATCCAATATATAATAAAACTTACTGCCAAGTTCTTTATTCAGCACAATAAACCGTTTTGGAGGCTTGCCTTTTATGAGAACGGTATGTGAAATACTAGTCAATAACGCTAAGACGGATTGATATCCATAAACAGCTGGCTGTATAGCAGTTCCAAATGCACGTAGATAGGCGGATTCAAGTGATGTTAACAACAATTTACCGTCAGACATCATAAGCAGACGATATATATCTCTAGCAAACAATTGTAGAGTGGTTAATTGAATATACTCTTCTCCAAATTTAGTTTTAACAATCTAAATGCAATATTAATAATTTATAATAAACAAAATAAATTAAAATAATCATTTTAACCAATAATTACATTTGCGGTATCACAAAGTTTATCTTGAATAGTTTCAATATTGATGGATTCACCGAACATTGTTTGGTAAAGGGATTGGAACTGTAAAAACGATATCTTATCGCTAGATGAATGTTCCATCAATACACGTCGAACTTTCAGGGACAACCTATGAGCTTCTTTGCGGTCTACAGCAACCAAAAATAGCTCTCCATGGCTATCAACTACCTACAAACAAAAATTTAAATTAAAAATAATTAAAATATGCACTTTACTCTATTAATTTAAACAAGCTTACCTTAACGGCATCATTGAGTTTTTGTAACAATTCCATTAACGTGTCACATTCAAACATGGAAGGTTTAAGAGCATAACCGTATTGCCATAAGAAAGCATTTTGCAGTTGATTGATTTGTATTGGATATATAGCTAAGGCAGCCAATTGTTCACCGAGAACATTCTGTTTCACTTCAGTCTTCAATGAAACACGACGTTCTCCTTCTAAATCATCTTCAATCTAAATTAACATTTCATAAAATTAAATATTAACTTAATAATTTTATACGAAAAAACCACACAATTTCCAGTAATACCTAATATTATTTTGGGTAGTTCCAGAGATCAATAATTATTGGATAATAAAATAAATAAATACAATTATCCATAATTTTGATAATAACAAAAAATTAATTTAAATTAATTTAAAGCAAGGAAAACCTCACCTACTATAAGGTGTGTTATATTAAATCAAAACAAATTATGCTTATTATTTGAATGAACACACATATTATTATAAACATATAGATTTAAATATTATTTAAATATAATTATTATTTATATACATAAGATATATTTGATTTAAAAACAACTAATAAATTATTACTTCACTTATTATCTTCACATATATTGTATAATACCTATGCCTTTGACTATATATATATATTATATTCAGAGCGTAGAGATTATTATTCTGTGAACAACAGGTAAGTTTACGAAATGTTTATCTTCAATTTTTTTTTTTTTTTTTTGATGCAATGCAGTTCAAAATATTAGTAAAGATTTAAAATTTAAACAGAAAACTTAAATTAACCTTTCAAACTGAACTTAGCACCAAATAGTTTTTCATAAGCAATTGTTTATTTTTACATACAGATATAAATTAAAGTCCCCTCTAAATCCTACCTTCCCAACTTCTCACTTATAACAGTCGTGGTAAGTGTGTACATCATTTGTAACATTATCTCTCTTAAAACAATTAGATAACTATAAGCAAACTTTGAGAAGTTCAATTCAAAATTTCACTACATTAAATTAGAAACTAATATAAAATAACTATACCCATCTAATGTATGATATCTTTAAATTATGATTTAAATTGATTATGTAATAATAATATTGCGTTAAAATTATTGTAATGTGAATTATCTAGTATGAGTGGCTTAAAAGTAATAATACAAATGTTAATTGTACATTTAAATTAATGTTTTAACACAATCAGTTAACAGTTAGAGATTAATAAGTCATCCAAGGATAAGGCAAACAAAATCACCAAATAAGGCTGGTTAGAGAAATTGTACATTATCCGTAATATTTAATAAAAAAAAAATAAAAGAATATAAAATATTAAATTTATTTAAAAACCAAATCAATACTTTCTCTTTACTACCAATAATTATCACTGCCCATGAACAATTTTAAAAATATTATAAAATATGCCCCAAATACAAAAAAATCTTTATAAAGTTTATTGTGCTTTATAGATATATGTATGTCTACATAAATACATGCATGAAAAAAGACACTCCAACACTACAATATATTAAAACTTTGTAATACCTTAACAATATGTGGTATAGCTTCAAACAATTCGATTAATTTTGTGAATCCAAAATCAGCAACTTTACATTGATGACCAAAATGGTGATGATAGGATGGAATGAACTTGTTAAATAATAAACTACACTGTGGAGCATGACTTAATAATTCTATTACCTAGATAAATTATTGATATTTTAATTTTTTAAAGTAACAAAAGAAAACTAGTTAAATTATGGAAAATATTATCATATTAGTTAGACTTCAACTCACTTCATCCGCAAATGCTTTAGTACGTTCGATTTCATCTGGGGTTTGTTCTCGTTTAGGAATCGCTACTGATTTTTTACCATCCAGATGACCTATGACAACAGTATTTTCTGATACTAAAAATAATAAATCTTCGAGAGAACAAAGTCCATAATCTACAGGATCAAACGGACGGCCTAATGTCTTTTCGAAAAGAGTAGAAAACTCAGCTATGGGTACTTGTTTACTGGCTACAGATTTCAAGACTCGCAATAAATCAGAAGTAAATCTACGCATTTGAGCTCTGTGAGCCAATGTCATAAAACGTTTATTGCCTTCTCCAAATACCTAAAATAATAATAATTATTACAATAGGAAATGTTGTTATACTAAATACAAAAGTTAATTACCTGTACAATATTAGGTAGTGCTTCCAGTAGATCGATGAGTTTGGTAAAACCATAATCTGCAACCCGACACTGCCGTCCAAAATGGTGATGATAAGCGGGTATAAAACGATTAAATGACATAGTACAGTGAGTACAAGTTTTTAATAAATCAACTAGTTCACGACTCAACAAAGCTAAATTATTTGCTAGCGGTGGACTAATACTTTTCAATCCACCTGCGCTGACTGAAAGATTAATTTATTTTGACATAATTAATAATCACAATTACCATTATATTTTTATTTATTAAAAGTGTATTACCTTCCGATTTAGTATCAGATTCTTGAGTAGAAGACCTGGTAGACATGTTTCCAATATCAGAAGCTGACGATGTTGTTAGATATTTTATACCAGCGCTACAACTTTGTAAAAGTTCAATACCGTGTACAGCAGTCACAATATGTTCCAGAGGAACTCCATTCTCATCTATATATATCGGCTCATTAAATGTAGCTTCATAGCAGTCACAAATACTAAAAGCAAATTATTGTAATACTATAAACTTCAAATAGTAAATATTATTTTATTTTTGGCTTATTTACGTGGCTAAAATTAAATAATTATTATGTGTAGATAACAATGAATGTAAACGTGTAGAAAACTCATTTAATGAAACTTTGACATTTGGTAATGATGGCATTTCTAATTCAGCCCAGCCTTTATCATCTGTCGGTTTTGTTATTTTTGCATGAGTTGGACAGTATGATATTGCATCACTTTTATCCTAAATATAATAATAAAATGTTAGATATTATTGATATTAATAATATTTATTAATTAAAAATAAATAAATACATTTAATAGAACAAATTAATAATACATAACACATTAAGTCTATATGACACATTGAAACTCACTAAATGAGACATAGGCATAGAAGGCTGAAGAAGGGGTGATGGAGTATTACGGTGTTCTGGATTTAAACTAATAATTCTATGATTTGGTTCTTCAGTAATTAAACAAACGTCCTTCATTTTATAAAGATCTGATACAGATACAGAGGTCATGTAACGATTTTCAAACATTTCACGGAATTTGAATAAAGGTAGACGCTGTCCCGGAACTTCCATCAGTATATAAGCTATTTGAGATCTATATATACGATGTCTCCGAAATTAAAATCAAATGTAAAATGGTAACATTATAATTAAACCTGTACCTAAGCAACGTGGGATTTTGAGGATAACCAGAATGAGCATAAGCAATCATAATTCTTTTGAATCCAATTTTGCGTCTGTGAAGCTTAGAAATAGCATACTGAGCATCTTGTTGACTAGATACTCGGACAGCTGCTGCAAAGTTACCATCTGACTGATAAAACACTGACACGTGCAACACCTATATATTCCCAGATTTATAGAATGATAAACTTTGTATATTGATATTTTATACAATTAGTATTCATACCATAACATGTTCCCTGAACGTATTAAATAATAAATTTTTCATCTCAACAGAATCAATGTTTTGATCTAAATTGGTAACATGCAAATCTACCGGATTACTTTGTTGAGTCATAAGTACTGCAGGTAACTGGTTTGTTGTCAAATTATTATAAGATGGAGATATGGGATGAAAATACCGCTGAAGAAATATTGATAACGATATTATATTGACTTAGTTTATTATATTGTTATAACACAAATTTAAAAGAAAATAACTTACATCAGGAATAGTATTCTCTGTTAAATTCAATGGACTTGCTCTTCGAGGAACATTCATAATTGGAGGGGGTGGTATTGAAGTGTTAACACCAAACATCATAAATGGGAGAGCACCATTTGTACTGATCAAACTGGATCTTGGTCCAATCTAAAATTAATTAATGATTAAACAAAATAGAATTGATAAATAGAAAAATCACTGAAATTATAAATGTAAAATTTTACTTGAGTGTCCATTTGTGACGTTCCACTGTTTGGCCCTCTTTTTAAAATTGTTATAGGTGTACCATGACTCATTGATGCCGGATAACCATGACGCATCCAATTTTCATTTTCTTTCGCTGGGACAAATATAAAACACATTTTTATTAATTTCAAAATGATTGTCCGAATGCACAAAAAAAAATATTATTAATAGAAGGTATATTACAAGGAATTTGAGTATTTGTCTTTTGAGTTTGATTTGTAGCAGATAACTGTTCCTGGTTTTCTCCAGTACCTAATACCTGTCTTCCATTGTAATTAATTGGAGCTCGTGCACCGTTCTAGAATTACAAATATTTATCTTATTAGAATAATAATACTTGTACATTTAACACTACCAGACAAATGTATGCTTATCCAAAATATTCCTTTTCAGGGCCACCCAGCTCTAACAGTTATTTCAATTAATATTGAAGAACTAACTAGTACTTTAATCTCTCTATCTAGAAATTTAAAAATAGCCTTCTGCAAGCGAATGTTCTAGTATCAATATTATTTAATGTGTATACTAATAACCCACCTATAATGAAAACTATTAACTACTAACCATTTCTTGTAGTCAAATGATTTAGATATTACTGCATAAGGGAAAAAACCTGTGACATAAAAGATAAAACAAACATCCCTCCACTCATGCACTAGAGAAACTAGACATATACTATACACAAAACTCACTAAAACCTAACCTAACAAAAAATGCATTAAGTACAAAAATACTTCAAAATACAATGGCACAATACACAATATTAACCTTAAATATACATTATCACCTAAACATTTAGGAATGACAATGGACAGAATATTAACTTGATATTAAAGATATTAAGGTCATTGATCTTTAAAGACAATTATAATAACATTAAAATGAAAATAGCAACGCCGAATAATCTATTAAGAAAATTAGCAAGGACAATGAGGGGACCTTATCATCTATTATTAAGAAGAACAGCACTGGCACTATTTACTTAGTGAATATGTATCCTTAGGATGGAATTTAAATTGTGCCATACAAAGAAAGTAAATGTTTCCTAAAAAGAAACATGTGGCTTAATAATTGGATGTCTGAACCTACACAAGGTACCTTTGATACAAGTGCTAGCTGGTTTAACCCCAGATGTCAGAAGTGTAATAATAGATAACCTAAAAACTATCAAGGTAAACATGAGATACTAACTTCACTTCGTAGATACCAACTAGTCCTAAGCATTTAAATCTAGGAAAAGCTTTTTGAAATAAACCACAAAACTCTGAACATCTACAAAATATGCATAATATTGAAGATGGGTAGCATTGAACCAAACTAATAAATTGAAAATAAGACTAATGAAACAACCAACACCCAAATATCATAAAAAATAGAGTGCCCGAAGAACTCTTAAAAGATTAAGACTGAGTGTTGTCCAAACAAAAGTGTTATGATAACAAACAAACAAAACATATACTTATATGCACTCTAAATTCAGTAACATGTACACTAAAATATGTAATAAATGCAACAACACTACTAAAAGCTTAGCCAAGCAATGGAGTAAGAAATTAATATAACAAGCATATTTATAGTCGAATAACTTTAAATTACAAACTCCTCAATAGTTCACCCAGAATATTTTTTAATTTAATGATTTGCCATTGGTTTAAAATAGTTAAAATAGATAATTCAAGTGGAAATGACAATGTATATTTTTTTTTTCTTCAAAATTGCATTAAAAAAAACTGTTAATTAAATAATTTTGAAAATTTTAAAAAACAGTAATTAATCCTATTATTTCAAAAAACACTTAAACCATTCTTTGAAAAATAAGCTAGAAGATGAAAACTTTTTTTATCATTTAATTTAGTTATTATGGTAATATTAAAAATATTAATTACATTATGTATTACAATTTTTTTTTTTCCATAAGACAACAACGATCTATAATTTACCAGGTATTTCTAACTATTAGGTATTGTTGTTGAAATACCTCAAAAATAGAATTATTCATAGAAATATGCAATTAATTTACTTGTATATTCTAATATTTATAATTGAATTGCATGAAATAATAAACTTACTGAAGGTATTGGGGGTCCATTTAACCATGTTTGCATGCCAACTGAATTTGTTGTCAACCAAGGATTATGGTTCCTCATGGAATTATCCACATTAGTATTCATTTGTGACATTCCAAAACCACCTTTAATTTGTTGACCATACAAACTAAAAAAAAAAATGAACTGTGTGAATTATAATTAAATAAATAAAATTAATTTTTAAAACTCACCCAAACGTCTGATTTTCAAAAGAGGCAGGAGGAGTAATGGGATTAATATTATACCGCGAATGCATATTATTTGCTGAAGAATACTGAATGGTAGAAATTTGTTGTACGTTTTCTTCTCTTGTCTGCACTATAGGTCTGCCTATAAAATGTAAAGTATTTAAAATTAAGATCAACATAAAAACCATTGTTTATAAAACTATGATACATACTTATAAAACTAGTAGATGATGATTCTTCTTTTACTGCAAATGGTAAACTAACAACTATTTGACTATTAAATACACGTTCCTTATTCATTCGTTTTTGAGCTCTAAAATTACAATTTTTTTTTTTTTTTTTTTTTTGAAAAATTACAAGATAATGTTAAAACAATGATAGATAAATGGTATATAATATAAATCACAAAATTAAATAAATACAATAATTAATTTAATAGCACATAAAATATAAATTATTTTACAAATAAATTAAAGCTCTATGAAGTAATAAGATCAAGACTGCAATGAAACTATGAAACTGAAATGCTCCAGAAATACTATTGAATGTTCAATGTGAATAGAATTCAAATACAGGGAATACCGTACGTAAATAATGTATAAAAATAATTTAATAATATTGTGCAAGTAATAAAAAGAAAATATTTCATGTGATAAAACTGATAGGCCTGATAATCTGTATAAATTTGTTTTATCATTATTTATTAGTTCATTACTTATATTATTATTTACCTTGCAGCCATTTCTTTGGTAGGAAACCTTATTGTTGTTGAACAATTGTTGATTACACCAACACGACCACCACAGTTTTCTGACAATCTCTTTAAACGATTTCGAATTTTTGCTGGATCAATGCCAACTGGTAAATTGGATACAATAACTTCGACAGGCGTATTTCCGCATTGCTAATAAAATAAAAATTATTCTGTTCATAAATTTCAATTTTTACTTAAAAATGTATTTATTACAAAACTAATTTTTAAAAACCAGAAATGATAATGTTTATATAAAATCACAATCATAGCTTAGCTAAACCTAATCTAACAGTGGTATGTCCAGATCTAATTTTATAAATAGAATAGCATAATAGAACATACAAATAATTATTTAATTCTATATCTTGCCCATCGAGATGAAAAAATAATAAAATCTGCACATAATACTACTAAATTGAAATTTTAAATATTTTTATCTTTTAAAGATCTAATGGAAAAATTTCAGAATAATATTCTGACAATTTTAGTACCTACTATATAATATAATAAATGGTTCATGAGTTTGAACTCTTACTCTTATTCTGATTTTTAAAATGTTTCATAAAGTATTATATGTTTACCCAAGTTACCTGACAGAATTTAGCTGCTGGTTAGCACTACATGGACATTATATGAACAATAACATAGAAATAAAAAATTTATGGAAATTTATTTAAAATCATTACATTTACTAATAATATAGTATAAACTGGGTTTCAGACCTTTAGAATTTTCATACTTTTGTTATTTACTGTAAAATATAACTGTGTACGAAATATCATGAATTTATTGTTGCCATGATATCAATTATGAAATTTAAATATGCATATTTGTGCATATTTCATACATTATTCATATTTGTGCATATGTTATTGATTTTTTATTAAACAAAAAAAATAATACACTATAGCAATTTCTAATATTTTTTTAATTTTGTTTTTGTCTTTTTGTTGTAATTTTATGGACAAGAAAAAATCATTGACTAATATTCACTGAATACTTAATACTAATATTTGCTTTTTTTAGTTATAGTTAAATTTTTTAATTACTCTGTCTTTTTTACCCATTTATAGACATTAAATGTTATAGTTTATTTTTGGTTTTATGTAAATAAAAATACTTTGCCCTAGCCAAAATGTTAGAAAATAAAGTGTACTTAGTGATCAAAAAGTAAAGTTTACTATAATGTAGTAGTTTTTTTAATAAATGTGATACGTTCAAGTCTTTATGAAAATCATAAAAATTGCAGTATTTCAAAACAGGATTAACCGAACACTACTCAAAATTATTTTTTGTTATCAAAGTTTTAACTTTGCATACAAATATAAATTAAATTATTCTATAGATCCTATCTATCCAAGGACATTATACTCTGGCCCATACGAGAAGTTAACCGTGTTCCAATTAAAACGGGTCCAATTATGCACATGTATACACATCACAGCACATAACTGAATGGAACAAAGTGAGGGAAACAGTATAATAGTCGTCAGTCTACAGACACAAAATGGTTTACTTCTCTCGTAGTTCGGAGTATAGTACTACACCTATCAGTAGTATCAGATTTTTTTTAAATTAAAAAGATATAAACTACAAATATTAAATATCAGCAGTCATATTATCTACAAACTCAAAGTAGTTATATTGAAAGATTATTACTGAGAATCATATTGATAGTTTTTTTTTTTTACATAACAACCATAATATTTTAAGTGCAATATGGTGAAAATATCAAAATTGGAGCTTTCTAGAAAGTACTATTTAATAAAACTTGTAAAATGGTGGTAGGAGGTAAGATGTGGTTTGACCACATTGTGGCCTGTCGTTATATAACGGCAAAAAGAAGGTCTGATGTCTGTGGTAAGAGCACATGATAGGAGGGTTAGTAAGAAAGTATTTAATAGTGGAAATAGCAATCAATCAACACACTCATTTGGGCTATTTAAAAATATATATATTATATAATAGTTTAAAACGTTATATATTAACTTTAAGTTTTTAAAATTGCATTTATTTCTTTTTAATTACCACCCTAACTTAAAACTCCAAAATGCCTAGGCATAGTATAATGTACTCATTTTATTAAAAAATTATTTAATCTTGCAGTACAACTAGAATAACATTTTCTACTTGATATATGACTTATGCATAACTCTACATCATTACTAAGTTATTAATATTTGTAAAAAACTATGAAATATACAGAATGTTTTAAAAATTAAAGGAATAAAAAACAATAATTATTGTAAAATAATATTAATTTATACAATCCATTGATAAAATTGAAAATTGTTTCTTATAATTTTTATTCTAAATTTCATTATAATATAATTTATATTTAATTTACAACGTTAATTTATAATAGATATTATTAAGAGTTTTGAAAATAAATATTATGCTGTGTACACTGTGTGTATAAAACATAATTTTGCTCAACCTTATTAGAATCAATAATGAAAATTTATCAAACAAATTATCAACAATTAAACAGTAAATGTTTTTACTATTAAAAAAAAATAAAACATTATCAATGAATTCTGAATTATAACAAATAAGTAAAAACAATAATTTGTCAAATAACACATTAATAGAAAGAGAATTTTCTACCCAAGATAAAAAAATTAATTTATTAAATAATATTAATTTATGAAAGTTGATTTTAGTTGAAATTATGAAACTATGAATGTAACATGTGTTAATTTCATCAAAAGCACGATATTTAAGAACAAATTGTTAAATATTATAATCTATTATAGAAATCTTCAACAAACATTCTAGGTACTACTAATAATAATAATTGTGCTATGGTAAATGTTTTTATATAATCAGATAATGGTAAATCGCTTCAGAGTGTTGATCATATGAAATTATATTTATTAATCAATTGGGCAGTTATAGGATAAGTCGGGAAGTAATAAAAACCTCAACCGACATCTCAACATAACTACGAGATTAAATAATAAATATCAACCATCAGCTCGGCCTAATGAAATATCATCATTTTATTTTTTAAATAAATAAATAATACACAATATATATAATGTTATAGTTAATAATATAAAATCGGTAAATGCCTTTATATTTATACTTTTTGTATATAAAACTAATTTTGTGCTGTTATTTTTAATATTAGCGAATTAGCTTATTAAAAAGCTTAAAAGTAAGGGCATTGTCTGTAATGGTGCATTGTTTTTTTAATATATTTAAATTTTCAAGTGAGTTACAAACATATAAAATATTACAATTTAAATATCAATAAATCCAGATAAAAATTTAAAATTTCACATATATAAAAAAAATGAACACATAAAAACACAAATAATGTTCTTACCTTTAAGTTTGATAATAAGCCATCACACTCTAATATTTAAATAGCACAAAATTGGTTCAATTTTAAATTTAATGACATTAATCTTAACATACCTATTACAGCCAATGTTTACAATTGGATAATGTCAACTTTTCATTTATAGAACCAATTTTGTGCCGCTAGTTTTACAGTATAGAAAATTTAACATATATATCACTTGTATAAAATCAGAAATTGGGCATTTTAAAAACATATAAAATCAAGTTTGTAAAATGATTAAGATCTGGACAAAATGAGTCGACAGGTCTACCACATTACAATCTATTATTATCATATGGCCCCCAAAATCATCATATTTTGTTATTTAACTAATACATTTTTATTAAAATACTATAATTATTATATATTTTTTATTTTATTAATAATGATATTAATTTATAATTATTAAAGTTATCTCTATTCTTAACATACTGTTTTGAACAAATACAATGTTTGTATAGAAAATACAAATATAATGCATTCATATTATTAAAAATACATTTTTAACTTACACATGTATATTATAATATGACTGTTACATTAAGTAAATTAGTTATTTTTATATTTTTCAGAGTTGTAAAATGAAAGATTAAAATTAAAATTGATAGTATGAATAAACAAATAGAAAGTTTAAAGCAAATAACTTGAATTAGTGTGCATATCAATATATCAATTGCTTCCAAGAATGGCTAGGCAAAAATGTTTAAAACAAATTGTGTACATTAAAAGGTTCAGAAAATAATATCAATCAATAGATAAATGATTGATACTTTTTTGACATTAAGTCAAAATTAGCCAATTATTTAAGATTTATAAATAATTATGTATCTCAACTAGATGAACTCAGAAAAGTTATATTGTAGGACTATTACTGAGAACCAAATTGTTTATTTTTCCTCAACATTGTTATTATTTAGAACTAATACTGGTGACAAAACTATGTTGTATAGATAAATTATACTTACTCGAAGAGCATTTCTTAATGGTAACATTTCAACTATATGTGTATAATTATGATGTTCATTGGCGCACAAAATAAGACTTTCGGAACAAAGTTCATTATGCAATAATATTACATGCATTTTTTTTCTAGAAAATAAATTTTGATTATTTTATAATCATTTCTAAGTAAATTAAATTAATAATTATTATAATTAAATACCTATGTCTAATATCACAAAGGTCAGATGCAAAATTCACATCGCCTGAAACTAAAACTACAGCTGCAGGGGAACCGTGTAAGTCTGCAAATCTTCTCATTGACAAGCGAAGTTTCTCGTCTGCTGCATTTTTACACACAGACGTTACATGAACTAAATTGACCTTATAAAAATAATAACATAAATAATCTAATTTAATTAAATAAAAATATTGAATTGAATTTACTTGAGCATCATTTAGTTCTTGAACAACTTGCGAGTTTTCTTTTTTAACATCACAGACGACGAGAAACTCTGCTTCTCGATAACCAATAAAAAATCTGTCTCTTATTGCCTGAGCTACGGCCACTGCAGATCTACCTTTGGGCACCTAAAATATTTCTATAATTAAATATATATACATATACATATATAGGTATTTTAACAATTTTACTGTTTGTTGTATTATTTAAACAACCAGCTTACTTGACAATTTTCAATATCCCAAAAAACACCAATTGGTGGTAAATAGTGAGCAAAGGAATGCTTATAACTATAAATTGAATTATTTGTGTATCCACGTGAAGTATATGAAGAACGGAGTTTATTATGTGATTTTTTATTTTTCTTGTAAGGTAACATCTGGTTATCATACCGAGAGCAATCCAGATCATAGAGATCAGAATTGGAACACAATGAATCCGATTCTGATGCAGAATCTGTATCACTGTGTGAATATGACGACGATGTGGTATTATTTTGAGGTAGAATTTGATCTTTCGGCGGCGGAATGTAGTATCCGTTGGGAACATGTGGTGGTGACGGAAATTTAAAAGTAGTATCTATTTGTTGGTCACAAGGATATGGTTCTGTATTTCCAAAGCAGCTTATATTATCTTGACGATTGAAGGACACTAGAAAAATAATTCAATACATAAGTAAAACAAAAATAATTTAATCAAAAATTAAGGTCATAGATCAAACATAGAAAAAAAGGAATGCAATATAAAATCTAGTTTCACAGTAGATTGTATGTGCTATAAAATATTATAAAATAAATATCTATATAGATATTAAAAATATATATATTAATTTGAATTTATGATTATTAACTTAATATGTATATATTATCATAAATCAAAGTAAAATTATACTTTTTGAGTATAATTAGTTATCTAAAACAATTTTGTTTCTAAAAATAACATTGTGAAAAGATTAAATACAGTTAAAATAAACTTACGTTTTCTTGTACAAACAATAAGGTGATCCATAGTAAGTCCAACAACTTGAAAGGTTTAAAGATTATACCTCACGAGGAATGAGAGGTATATGTAAAAAAATATTTTTTGATTACTGGAAGTCTAAATTTAAATCTTGGTATCATGTATGTACCAAGTGAATAGACCTGGAAAAAAAATTATTAAATAAACTAATCAATTCAATCACAAAAATTTGGTGACTAAAAACCTTAAACAGGCTTTATATTTTTAAAAAATAAAAGAAGAATAAATATAATATCTACTTCTTTATTAACACATTAAGGAAATTGATGGATAGTAGGCCAATAATACTGTTACACCAATTATGTTAAAATCCAATGTGAGAGATCACTTGTAAATATTACTACTAGTGCGATTATACAAAAACCATGTAAAAATTGTCATTACTACTATATCAGTAATATTTTAAATGTTGTTTTAATTCAATACATCACAACAGAACAATGGGCATTTTTTTTCTTTTGCTTGTTTACACACATTTGTATTTTTTTTTTTTTTTTTTGTCAACAAGTTATAGCAGTAATGAAATTGACATTTTTTTGACCGTTTTGTTAAAATAAAATAAAATGTAGTGTCCATCAACATATTAAGAATTAAAGTAAAAATGTACAGTTAAATTTGAAAATTTGGTTGGATCTTTTTTTAACACAAATAAAATGAGTTAAGAACTTAAATATGGATTTAAGAAAAAAACATTAAAACGTGTAAAATACTAGTTACAATTCAAATTTTAAATAGGTAATACAAACAATAAATACATACATAATATGTACCTAGTATTTATTGCAATGAATTAAGTACAGAAATTGGACTTTCCAATTAAATAAGGCACAAAATGCTTAGTAACATAAACATAGAACTGTAGATTCAATTAATTATATAACAAATAAAAAATAAACCTAACCTATGCTAATATTTATGTACCTATTTATATCTTAATTCTATGTCCTAAATTTGTTTCCAAGTAAACACTATATCTAAATATTTAAAAACTACCAGTAAATTAAATTTTTTAAACATTTGGATAACTTATTGTGTATAATATAACACTTTGTAATTTGATAATTAAGTTTAACTAATGATTATCTTTGAAATGCTTAGTAAACCAAATAAGATAATAAATTTAATTTATTATACCCGCATTTTGAATTCATCAAAAACGTTATTTTTAAATTAAGAAAACAATTATATTCTTATAATTAAATAAAATAGATAGGTAATATTTATGATTTAATCTAATATTAAATATGACAGTAGTTATAAATAGTAATAGATAAATTAAATAGTTTATTTATCTTATTACTCATAATATACTTTATATTTAATAAGTTAATCTATAAGGATACATCTTACAGTATATTCATGCATTTTTTCAAAATATCACTATAATTGGTAACAATAAAAAGAAAAATAGGACTACCTTCAATAATTTATTACCTATATTGCTAATATAAATGTAAATTTAAATATCTTTATTATAATTATTTATAAAAACAAACATGTTGAGTCAGTAGGTATACCTATAGTTGAATTGTAATAATTTATAATAATAAAAGGAAGTGTTTTGTGTGTAAATCACAACTGAATATCACATGCAGAGATTGAAAAATTTACATACAGATAAATGGGTCTGTGCGTACCTGAAACACAGATATCGGAAATGCAACCCCTCAATGATAATTGACAATGGGTTTTTAATATTTTTGCAATGAAAATCAAATTATTTTTATTGTTTTATGAGTTTACTTGGTGATACAGATTTCGGATAATAGCAAAAAAACCTAGAAATGGCTACATATTTCCAAAATTACCACTTAAAAATCAACTGGAACAAAACCGAAATAATGAAGTGTTAAAAAAACAAACGTATTCGTTGATTAATAATTGTAATTGACAACCATACTCTTGACCAAGAAGAAAGTTTCAGAAAATTAGCCAAAAAGGAAAATGTACCATCCAAGTAAAATTAAGGATTGCTCAAGCAAAAACAGCATTCATGAATAAAAATAAACATATTATACTTTAAAAACATGTGCAAAGTATGAAGAAACGGCTAATAAAAGTATATGTGTGTAGTGACACACTATAGAAATCCTGGGTACTGAACAAAGAAAAAAAAATTCTTCAAAAGTTTCGAGACGTGGAGCTGGAGAATAAAATTGTGATTGAGCTGAACAGAAAGAATAAATTAAAGTGTACTACACACAATAAATGAAACCAGGAAGTTACTTAATACCATTAAACAAAGAAGTTGGAATATGATTGACCATGTTCTGAGATACGTAAAGCTTCTGTATATTTTAATAGAAGGGAAGATAAATAGCAAGAGATAGAGGACGACCAAGAACATCTTGCATCAAAAAGATTGTCAGATGTAAGTCTAACATATTACAAGGAACTGAAGAAGCTAGCTGATGATAGAGATGAGTGGAGAAACTATGGGAAAACTGCAAAACCAACTTTAGGGTTGAACACTAAAAAACTGCAGTTTAAAAAAAAAAGACAGTGATGAAATAAAAAAAAAGAGACATAAATACCACAGGAAGAATTGAAATTGTTGACAAGTAAAATGAAATAGAAACATAAAATATCAAAATACATGTGCGTATATGTAAAAATGTTTGTCAAAGAAAATTAAAAAAAACAAACTCCGTTAACATATTTGTTATTGTTATTATATATTGTGTAATACATTATTCACAATAATCTCACAGGTATCTAACTAAACAAATAGGTAATGAAACAATGTGTACCTCATAACATAATTCTTACACACAGTCAAACCATTTGTTTATCTCTTAATTACAACACAATATGAGATGTTTAAAATCATTGAAAGTATTAATTATGTGTCTATCAAACAAGCCATGCAATTAAAAACCATACCGATGAATCGAAATCGACAAAAAAATGTAAACACCAAACAATAGATATAAACATAGCTTGTACCCATCAAACGAGTCACGGTAATTTTAACACAACTAAAATTAATATTAAGTAGTAGAGTAATAGGTACATTATACTTTACCTTTTCGGATGAGAAAAAAAAAATGTATCCATAAATGTATATCGAGAACAAAACTATTAAAACGGAATTTTTCTTTTTAAAAATAAATTTGTTAACGTGATGAAAACAAACACGAATATGAATACTCATTCGATGGCACACTATTTCACAACCAGAACATACCTTGTGTGAACCAAATAACCAATACGTACCTACATTATTATGTACACTTATCGATATAACGTTATCAAACATTTCCAAACGGCTTGCTAATAAATAGAAAACGATCCTACGTTCATACCACAAACAAATTGGTTGGTTCATACCACGGATAGAATGAATGGATTGAAAACGAAACGGCTGTACCATAGACCAGTGGTTTTCAACCTGGCGGCCGTAACCCACAAAGAGGTCACGAGGAATAGTTAGGGTTTCGCCAAAATCCATAAGTATCATGTACACTACATCGTATTATTCAAGTTCTATAACACGATTTTTGAAAGGGTCGTGACGACAAATGAAAAAAAAGTTAGTGGGTCGCGATTCGTAAAAGGTTGAAAACCACTGTGACAGACATATAATTTAATAGACCGCGAATAGAAAGAGACCTATGAAGCCTGTTCAAAGTATGTTTCTCTTACACATAATATGTTGAATTCTATCATTTATACCTATGTCTATGAGCTATTTCAGGAGATATTAGGTAGTAGTCGTTATTGAAAATTTATATATATAATAAATTAATAAACAATGCAATACCATGTAACAATGTAAAACTAAAGCCTAAATAATATAATATTTTAGGCCCTCTTGGCCGGTCTATGAAGTATAGGTACCAATAATATAAGCTTTTGTAGTTTACAGCGTACACGACAGATGGCGTCTCACAAAGCACCGAAGTACTACGCACATGCGTACTATAAACCATACATTTGTGGTACAATGATAATATTGTGTGCGCGTTATTGGTATATGTTTGATTTGGGGGGGACATAGGGGAGCGGAGCTCCTCTACTATTATTTTCTATTATTTACTTAAGTAATGTCTTGGCCCATTGTAATCACGGACAAAGATAGATAATACTCTACTGTAATATTATAATATCAAAGCCACTTGTATAAAAGTAACATTGCCTTCCCCCCCACCATCAATTAACCGGCAATATACAAATTCTATACTGCTTTGAATATTATGTTTTATCGTATTTGCTCCCGCAAAGTAATATTTCTATGGATGGCATTACATATGGAACGCATATTAATAAACGATAATAATCTTTTCAATATTTCATAATATAGCCATCCCTCAAACTCGAAACACTCCAACCATTCAGTTTTGAAGGATTTGTTTGTTTTTTTGGTGGAGTTTTGTATGTCATCATCACTGTCCATCACATTTCATCTTGGATTGGACGGTATTGCAGCATTCTTTTGATTTACCCAAAAGTTAACCCGTGTTAACCACACGGTTTACCGTGTTATCATGAAATTATCTTAAGTAAATAGTTGAATCAACTATTTCCGTTCGAACGGATGATAGCAGCAATCTCAAAATTTAAAAATTTAAATAAATATAATTAAACTTGCAGTCCCGGCCGCGCGTTGCTGCGGCTCTAATTTTTATAAACAAAGATACCTATGAAAATTGTATATTATAGGTACCTACCTAAATTTAATGGAACGGTATTTTCTACTGTACTTGTTATTTTTGCCATTGGCAATTCTTATAATTTTTTTTCTTCGTTGAAATAGGACAAGTGAGAAGTTTCGTCCTCATTCGGCGGACAAAAAGTGTTCTATTGTGAAATTTTTTCATGATTTTCGTATCAAAAATATCTAAACACTGATTTTTTTTTTTATATTGGGAGAGCGTGTGTACCTTTTCTTTGTTATTATTTATTACTGATACGGTCAAAACCAAAAAGGAATATGGGTAAAAAACGACACGGTCAACGCTGGGCGGGACAGTTAGTATAAGATTATATTCTTATTTTTTTTCAAAAGTTGATCAAAGTTTATTTTCACTATGAACAATATAATATTAATCTATACATTTGTACACATATTTTATACATTGTTTTTATTATTTTTTATCTAATCGAAAAAATACACGAGCCGCGTATAAAACAACAATAACCGTGCTTCTGGCTTCAAGTGCATATACAATAAACGTGTACGAACGGTCCAATGGAAACCCACTTTTCGCTTACACACAAACCGTGTATAATAGGAATAGGGATATCCTATCCGTGTATATATTATCCAAAAAATATTTTAAAGTATAATACGCAAGTTGCCGTATTATCAGCCGTTATACATTATACTTCATTAAATTTCAACATTTTTATTTTTTACTGTATATAACAATTATTATTAAAAAAAATTGTATACAATTTTAACTCATACATTATCAATGGATATAACCACGATTAAGGATATACTGGTTGCCCAACAGGCTATGTTATATACGTTATCACATGACAATGGAAATTGCTCAAAGGAACAGCTACTTAACTAATTTAGTGCGCTCTCTGTCCGTGAAAATAATGTTATTTGACAAATTATTATATGATCATGACTAAAGGTAAAACCATATGCGAACCTAGGGTGTAATTATTATTTTTATATTATTTAAAAAAAATATATTTATTCAAGTTCAAAAATATTTTTACATTATAATAGGTAATTATAATGTTTTACATAAAAAATCATGTCGTATTTTTTATCCGTCTGCTCTTATAAAGGTTTAAAAACTAATACCTACGTTTGGGTTATCAAAGGAAATTCCTTTAAAGGTCGAATGGGAGAAAGCTTTAGGTGTTACATTAGAAGAAAATTCTAGAATATATCAATAGGTACCATTTTAAAAATCAAGATATTTTAAACACATGGATATATTATACTTATCTATGTCATGTATAATGTATATACAGTTTTATTTGATGGAATATGGTGGACAGTGATGATTAAAAATACAAAACTCCACCAAAAAAACCTTCAAAACTGTATAAATAGTGTTCTTTTTAAGGGCGTTACATGAAAAGGTAAAAAAAAAAAAAAAAATGACAAGGATTAAAATTAATTTACTAATGACTAATGGCTAATCATATATTAATTTCATATATAGTAATAATAAAATTTAATTATAACAAGAGCCAAGAATACAATTTGTTATAATTTATTATTAAGAAAATATCAAAAACAATTACGCAGTGGAGTCATATGTGGTATGTGCACTACTATGTCTATGTTCCTTATTTTAAAATATTGTAGTGTATGGAATCAGGTGTGCAATAGCAAAATAGTCTAATTTTAGGTCCTATAATAATTCACATTTGGTGTCAATACAAAATCTGAGGTAAACCGATAAACAAGAGCACCTGTTTTTTCTAAAAGTAATACAGTTTTAATTATCAATGTTGTTATTGATTTTATTATATACCTACCTACTAATATTGCAAACTTGTATATTATAAAATCAATGAATTTGTTAATTTTTGTCTATTTACTAGATCTTTTAACGTGATCATTCCAATGGATTGTGCATATGTATTAGCAATGGGTTACTTTTAAATTTATATCTGTTACTGTGAGTAAATTATTAATTTAACAGTCTTCACCAAAAACTATCAAATCTGTGTAAGGATCTTGAATGTTCGGAAAAGTCCACTATTTCATTGATTTTTCTAATACAAAGTATAGTAGTAATCTAATAATCTAGCTAATCTATCTAGCTGGTATTAGTCAATAAAAAATAAAAAAAATTACAAAACATAAATGTAAAGTATTATTAATTTCACTATATATCGATTGTATCTAGGACTATTTGTTTGGAATGATGCTGTTATTTCATTTATTACAAATTGATTATTTTGAGGAATATTTAAGCAGGCATATGCCCAATGCTCCTGCTCCAACGGGTGCATGTGTTTACATATTTCATATATTTGTATTTAAACGATAAACGCCAGAGCAATTTCACATCCTGTAAATAATTATTAAAATTGGTGCTCATCGCTTAAAATAAATAATAACTATTAAGGTGCCGGCCGGCAAACGTACTTGAGACTACAGCGCGCCGCGTGGCTAGATTTCGCCGATTAGGTATAAAATAACGTGAGTGTAAGTAACCTATAATAAACTATTCATTTTTAACTGAACACTTCTATTCTTCAGTGCAGTTCATACACAACATCGTTCAGGCGTAATCGCTGTAAAAAAAAAAAAAAAAAACTATCGTGTAGGTATTATAGCAACAACATCATTAATTACTTAAAATGGAACAGTGGAAAGGCAAGGTGGCAATAGTTACCGGGGCTAGTGTTGGAATCGGCGCAGCGATCGTAACCGAGTTGATCAAATATGGTGTTAATGTTGTTGCACTGGCCAGAAGAGAAAATAAACTTCAGGTAAAAAATAAATAAATTTAAATCTTAAATCATTTTAAATAGGTACATATCTACCTACCTAAAATCTGGTTCATACGAGCCAGTATAAAGTATTTGAAGAGTTCCTTTAAAAAGGAACTAGTTCACGTTCACGTTCATCTTGTTAAAATAGGACTATTCCATGCTCGTTCCATGATTGAAGAAAAGAACATATTTCGTTCCTCAAATACAAATACAAATTTATTTATACATTATATAATTATTTGTATTGAGTTTTAATATTTTATAATAATAATTGATTCCATAAACACAAAACTTGAACACATCCTTCACAAGAAACATCGGACCTTATATATTATTGAAAAGTGTATTTTTTTTCAAATTTATTTAGGGTTTTTAAATTTGTTTAAATTATATAGGTATTTACTATTTTACGATAATCTATTCGACTATACTATCACATATCGGTGAGTATGAATTAGAAAAATGTAAATACAATATTTTCAAAATTAACAAAATGATGCTAACAAAAAAAAGTCATAAAATACAAATTGAATCCCCAAAGAGTTATAGGTAATTACCTATATTTTTAAATAAATATAAATTATAAAATCACGTTTTATATTTTTGACTTTGTTATCGATACGGGTCATAAATACTAATAAAACCGAAATAATGCTCTGAGCTATGTTTTTTTTACCTATATATATTTATTTTGTTTTTATTTTTTTGATCATAGTTAACAAAAAAAAAAAAAATTAAACTAACTCCGATTAGAATCGTTTTCCATATTGCAATAATATATCGTTTATATAGTATTTTATTTATGTTTAGTTTACAGACGAGGTCCAAATGATACGTTAAATACAAGATAAAAATGTAATGTACTAAAATTTAGTTTCAAAAATGTACAAACAATTTATCGTTCCACAAAGATAATTTAAAAAGTGAACGAGAATTCGAGGTTCGCTGTGTGAAAGAGACGAAACATGGAATCATTGATTAATTAGATATTTGGAAGGGTGATGGATGTGAAAAGGAACAATGGATCGGGTATGGCGTGGAGGAATTCTGAAATTTATTTTAGTGCGTAAGTAAGGATTGATTGGAAATAAGTTTGGAGAGTAACCGAAGGCCAAAAGCCAAATTAAGTATATAAACTAAATTTTCATTACCCTATGTATCCTACCTTCTTAACTATTTACCTACACCAACTACGGTCTACTCATGGCTTGGATTATATTATTCGGTATTACGAGGAAATTAGACAACAATGCCCGCTAATAATGCCTAGTCATACTTTGTGTAAACTAAATAGCTCCAACTATGTGCAACATATTAACTTCTTGTATAGGACTTGGTTGTTTTTATTTTTAATAATATGACTATTCAACTATATTGTAATTATTACCTAGAAAAATACTGATATCACCATCTACTGTGACAATGACAGGTTTTCATTAATAGGCAAAAAATACAATAATACAATATAAGTCGATAATATTGACAAAAATACATTGATGCAAATTCAGTGTAACATATAGTGATGATGCGATACAAAACAAGATTTCGGATTCCAGATGGTGAATTCCGGAATTCAAATTTTAAAAATTGAAAATTATCAACTTATAGTGATTTAATTACGAATAATGTATTAGGTACCTATTTTAAAGATAAACAAATTCAAAATCAGATTTTCATTTTCATTTGCGTGAAGTGTTGAAAAAATTGAGTTCACGATAAGTATAAAATTTCGTTTTTAAATGTTTGTGAGTTCGCGAAAAGTCCATGTCTAAATATATTATAATCATATAATCTTTAATATGCAAAATTATGTCCAAACATTATAATAATCGAATAAAAACGTTTAAGCATAACTTCTCTACAATTAGTTTTTAATAATTGATTATTCGTTAACGATCAGTTTGACATGATATTTGTATTTAATTTTCGTAGGAGTTAAAAGAATCGCTAACCAGAAATGTTAATCTTCCTAATCATGGAATTATTTATACAAAAGTTTGCGACGTCACAGACGAAAATGCTGTAAAAGAAGTTTTCTCATGGGTGGACGCAAAACTAGGAGGTCTCAGTATTTTAGTGAACAACGCGGGAACAGCAAAAATAACAAGCCTTTTAAGTGAGTACCTTTATATAATGCCATATTAAAATACATGTATTTGCAACTATCATTGTCGTGTAACTACGAACTATATTTTGTATTCTTTTAGATGGGAAACTGGAAGATTGGCAAGACACGTTCAATCTAAACGTCATAGCGTTGGGAGTATGTTCGAGGGAAGCTTATCAGTCAATGACGAAAAATAAAATCGACGGTCACATTATTCAAATAAATAGGTACCTAATTATATCGTAAATATACTACAAAATTTTAATTGATACAGTAAATAAGCCCATTAAAAGACGCATTCGTGTTTTAATAAAACGGATTGGTTTTTTTGGCGAATATATATACATCGAACATATATGTATGCAATTAATTAGCTAACAAATAAAAAGAAAACAATTTTTAAACAAGTCTATTAATTAACTTAAGCCTTTTTTCTCCGAGACAAACGATATATTTACTAAAATAACCAGCCAATTCTACTTTTAATTGATACAATTTTATATTTTGTTTATATAATATTTATTAATAATGAAAAAAGACCTTTATAGTTTAATACCCCTATGCCTAAAGTAAATAAATTGCAATGTACAAAACTTCAAAAAAATTTTGTGATGTGGTGATCCATGTTATGTATACATTTCTCTATTTCAGTATGGCTGGTCACAGCATTTCGCCGTATTTTGGGTTCAAAGTGTACAACGCTTCAAAGACAGCTCTCACAGTATTGTGCGACGGACTACGACACGAACTACAATTAACGGGATCGAAAATCAAAGTTTCGGTAAATTCTCGTAAAATATATACATACATATATTATATTATAATTCTAATACAATTTTATTTTATGCTGACGGATAGGTATAAGATTAGTGTTTTTTTTTTTTATTTTTCTGAGCGAAACGAGAAACTATATGTTTCAAGTGCTCGAAAGGAATTGGCACTTTTTTATTTAAGTCTCGTAGTCCTTCTTCTTGTATTATATCAATATTCGAGCACTGGCTATTCTCCTCACCAGTAACTTTATAGTTTATAGCCTATAAGGGAAGCCATATATTGGTCGGGTATACGATGATTATTTATTATTTCTCGATGATTATAATATGCTAATAGAATTTGTTTATTTTATTTTTACAATTTTCGTTCGGAAAGCTATAACTTATAGCCATTATGATATACCGTTAGTCGAATTGATGTAGTCTCGTATTTATCAGAAGTTGATACTTGCTGCTTACTAGTAGATCATTGTAATTGTTGGTGTATAGTTGGGTAATACACGAGTATTATGAAATTAAAACATATAGAATATTGAGTATTATAGTTTATAATGTGTTGTATATGCCACAATAAATCATAGCAAACGAAAAACGATTCTGGGCAAAGAAGTATAAGTTTTGTTTTTGGTTTTTCGATTGTTTCAAAGGCTTAAGGCAACTCAGAAATTTACAAATATCAAAATATCAATAAAAAGAACCAAGAATGTGAAAAATAAAATACTATCGAGAAAAATGTCTACATCTTTAAAGGTATGACATAAAAAAACCAAAATATTTTTACTAACGCAAAAAGTGTTTTCTAAGAAAACAACACCTCTTGTCGGTAATAATAACTTCTTCACCTCCATCTGAACTATTTAGAGTAGGTCAACACTCAGAATTTAAAATATACGATAATACTTTTAACCAGTTAACCTTTCCTATACTCAAAACCATTGTTAAATGCTTGGCGGAGAAATATTATAGACCCTAATATCAATATTAATTAACTTATTTAACTGATACTATTGTTTTTAATGAACGATAATTTATTATTGATTAGTTCATTTTATTTTCAGGTTACAAATTATGTTATAAACTGTAATCTATATCAAATCCATACGTATATTAGTGCGTATTCGTTAAAGTTATACTATATTATGTTTAGAATAACCAAAATCGACTTTATATTAGAGTTTTAAGAAGTAAATATGTTTGTGTTCAGCATAATAACAAAATAATTTTACATCAATCTCGATTTTTTCGTATGAACATTTGTGTGCATGTTTTGCTAATTTTATCATCAACATCATATTTTCCCTAGTAATATTACACATATATTTGTTTAGTTTCCGGCCTTTAGACCATCCCCTAAAACAAACTTCTTTATCTCTCTTAATCTTCGGCTACATTCCTCCAGTTATATAATAAGCAAATAGGTAGGTATTTATATTTTATAAGTTCGTTTTCGGTTATTCTTTGCCTACGTTAAATTTTGATAATCATCTTTATTTTATTATTTTAGATTCTAAGTGTAGTGAAGAATGTATTGGTTTTACAATGATGTTTTTTTTTCTTTTTTATATACCGACAAAAATTGCTAACAGAAATCTTGCTTCGATATGTAAGCGTGGTGCCATTTCTAAAAAGAAATATTATCTAAATAGTACTTTAAGATCATTTTTTGATGTTCCGTGTAGTTTTTTTAATAATCGAGCAAGATAGAAAAAATGTAAAAAGAATGTGAACATTTACGTAAATAATACTTTTATTATTTTCATTTGTGTTATTCTGTTTGGATTCGGTGAACAATTTTTGTTGAGTCTTAAATTTTGACAAAAAATGTATGGTTGGTTTTTTTATACGTGGTAAACTTCTAATAACATTTAATTTGTTTTTGTGCTATTTATAGACATTTTAATTTTGCGAGTATTTTATGTAATTTTTATTCGATTGGCACGCTGTGGTTAAAATTGTTGGACTACACAGTATTACTTGAACATTTAAAAGGATGTTAATTATAATTTGACTTTTTGATATAAAAAAAAAAAAAATATTTGAATGTAGTATTTTTTTTTTTTAAGAAATTCAATTTAAAATTTTAACGAAAATAATTACGGCCTTCTAAAACATGAATAACCGAATTTTGTTCCGAATCGTATAGCATCGGTTAATTGTTGTTTACGGATATAAATTAAACAACTTAATATTGATACTTTATCTGTCTTTTTCAATTTGTTTGAAAAAATACAAATAATTATTATCTAATTCCCTCACGTATATATTTGTATTTTTACAATGTTATTAGTATTCTAAAGTGCTACAGGCATTGATTTTTTTTTTTTTTTTTTTTTTTATCGATTTATATTGTTTATGTTTTTACGGAATTTTCGTTATTTATATTGTTATTGTATATGAAAACGGCGTCGATGGGATCTTATCGCAAATAAGAAGTGTTACGAGTAAAAGCGTTTGTAATAGTTCTCAACGTTTTCAACTGTGGACACATTATATTTTTTATTAACGTTAATACGATATAAGTACGTGATTTTTGATTATAATTAACATATATAATGTTACAAAATAACATCTCCTTTTTCTAGGCAATTTCATATATATTTATGTATTATCAGTGTTTTTTAGGTGCTTATACAGTTTTCTTTTTTTTATACTCGACTTTGGACGGATATTGGATAGATTAATTGACTCTATATAGTTTTTTATACTATAAATTACCTGATTTGTTTAGATTTGTTAATCATTAAGTTTTAAAAATCAAAATTTGACACTGCAGTGTAGTGTGTTGGCAGTTTGGAATATTATGAAAATCAAATACATACCTGTACTTATTTATTTGTCGAAAGTTAAAAGGTTAAATTTTAATTTTACAAGGTGTTTTCAAAATAGTTGGCAAAAACCGGAAAGAAAATTGTGTGTAAAACGGAAAATACTTTACAGCGCCCTGCGACGTTGTTTTTAATTTTTGCAAATTATGTTATTAATCAGAAATATTGCTCCAATTGAAAAATTATAAGAGCTAAATTTTGTTCTTATTAAAATTTAGCCACTGCCGAAGAATATAGTTTTTCGATATCCAAAGTAAATTTTCTAATAATTACGAAAAACCTAGGAAAAACGTAGGAAATACCGCAAAGTGTAGGCATTTGAGTTTTTTGTTGTTATTTGGTGAAAAATTACTGTTGAAATCTATAATTTTCACACAATACTAATATTGGCCTTTAATGTGATGAAATTTTTGAAAAATTCCAACTATTTTTAAGTATTTGATATTTTTGTATTTTTATATGTATTATTTAGTATACGAGGTATCGTAGGTATTAGTTATTAACATTAAACGACTGAGAAAAAAGTGTTCAATCAATAAGTGGTAATAATAATAATACATTTTAATCAATTAGCGAGTGGAATTACAGCCTGCTGCCTAATTATGGGTATTTCTCTCTGAACATACGAAAATTATAAAAAATCACGTATTTAATGAAAATATAAAATTGAAACATTAACATTTCCAGATGAATATAAACTCTATAAAATGGCTATCATCAAATTTAAAAAAAAAAAAATAATGTTTTTTTTTTTAGTTTTTTATCAAAACATAAAAAATGAATTGCAATATAAATATATTTGTACTCCGTATCCCAATGAGTAATATAAACGAAACCAAAATTTGATTACCTAATACCTATGTCCTATATTATATCTGAAGATATTTCAACGGGTATACCTTCATGAGACACCCTGTATATTATGAATAATTAGTTATTGTGTAAAAGTATTTTTAACGTTTTTTGAAAAAATATTGTGAAACCAAGCTTTGCACGTATTAGCAACTATGCATGCTCTCATTTTCGTACAGAATCGTATTAGTTTAAGGGTTAGGCAGTAAAAAAGGACCTTTTTGCTAAGTGTACGGAACAGTACTGCCAAAAGGGACAAACAAACATATCGTATATACAGCATACACGGATTCACTATGTTTTACAATTTTAAATTCAGGTAAAAAGATTATTCGTGTAGTTTACAAATGGGGACTGTAAAGGGATTCCAGTAATCGTTTTCAGTCCATCATCATCGCTAGTCCAATTGTTCGGTCACGCATGCCAGTCACTCGTCAATATCCTCTGCAGGCTTTTTAGTGAAATTCAACGATGGCGATTTTCCATCATCCTCATCCTCATCCATCATACCTCTTATTGTCTGTTTTGTGATGCACAATTACGTCGTCGTGCATATTTTAGTATTTTACGTCTATACAGTTATTAAAAGACCAATGAACTTTGAGTGCTACTATGTGGCAGGTACGCCCACGACTATTTATAGTTTCCTGTGTAATACCTATAGGGGTAAAGTGTACCACGGATCACTGCCACCGTCGTTCTCAATGATAATTAACCGGATACCTACGCGTTCACTTCCGGTTACTGTCGGATAGAAACGGATACGTATAATATAATATGTAGGGAACGGTCAAAAAGCACCATTTGAAAATAGTAGGACAAAGTCCGGACGAATATTTTTTGAGTACCGGACAAAAAGGCAGTGAAAAAACAAATATTTTTTTTTAAACATCAATATTAATATGAATATATATTTTTTTCCAGACTATTGCGTTTAAACATTTGCAAAACGAAATTAGTGAAGATAATTAACTATAATAATTAGGTACTATAGGTGTAGAAATTATTTTTAATAATTTTTTTATTAAAATACTTTATAATAATATACTCATTTGTATGAAAATAACCATGTATTATTGTATTTTACTGATTTTTTGCCAGCCATTAAAAAAATACGGCCATACTTCAACTATTTTCAAATGGGATTTTTCGTACCCATTTTTTAATCGTGCAAATTTAGTTTAAGGAATTGGATACCATAGTTATTTTTCTTTTTTATCCAACATAATGTACTCAACACAGCAACTTAGATAAATTTGCGGCACTAAATCCGATGGATTTTGTGAAGTGATTAGAATTCTCAAAACAGATTTGAATTCAGCGTGAAGTGTACACTAAATCAACCAGATCACTTTTAAAATTTAATTTAAGGTACTTTAAAAAAAAAATGTATGTACTATTATTCATTTTAAAATTTCATTTCAAATTTTTAGAAACTAAAAACATAAATTCAAAAAAGTTGCCAGATCGGTCTTACGTTTACTTTGCGTTGAATTCAAATCTATTTTCAGAATTCTCATCGTTTCACTACATCGATTAGACTGGTTGCTGGAAAATTTATCTAAATTGTTATTCTGCGTATTTGTTAGACAAAGTAAGAAAATATTGGTGTCCCGTCCATTTAAGTATATAGGTACGTTTTATAAGTACGAACGCACGAGTTGTGTTTTTAATTGGGATTAAAATCGTCATAACTGACGCAAATAATAATTATTATTATATATGCAAATCCGTTACGGGCGTGTACACACCGCGTCGTCGCGCCTGAAAAATTTCAAGTACATACCCAATCAGCAATAAGTACTTACGTCTAATCAATGTGGTTTTTTACAGACATCAACACGATTTTTTTTAAATGTTTGTCGTCAAACGTTAAAAAAAAAAAAAAAACTGAATAATCCGATAAAATATTGGCGAATTATACATGTAATTATTTTATATACCTACACAAATGCACGAAACGACAATTATTTTTTCACACATTATTCGTAGTGGATGTTTTGAAGAAAAATATTTTTTTTTTCATATGTGAATAAGTTCTGCTTTTGAGGATCGTTCGTTTTCACAACATTTTCTCTATTATGTGAACCCGCATACATTAAAATCCGTTGGGATCACAAATATATTTTTGTTAAGTACCTACGGTACCTACCTATTTTATTATTTGCAATATTACAAATATCGTTTTCGGGCCATGGCGTATCCAGCGATGTGGCGATAACCACCCTCCAAAATTGCACGAAATTTGAATTTTTTTTTTTTAATTCTTGTGTAATATACTATAAAAAACAACTTCTTGTTCTTCTTTTCCTCCGCCTTTATCTCAATTAACTAAACAAAATTACAATATGTAATATGTAACCAATTATAGTCTTATACTGCCCCCTCCAAAAAAATACATATCCGGTTAGATATTGCTCTCAACTATATATCTTTAAAAGTTTCCGACCTACAAACAACATTTCACTCCCACGCACATAACTTAAACCTTTAATTAATTTAGTATACAATAGTTATAATATTCTGTTCAATATATACATTTCTATTATATATTCTATATTATATCCATAATTTACGGACCGTAAAAAACTTTATACGAGTTTCGTCGTTAAATAACAATATATCAGCTACTGTAATAGTATATATGTCTGAAAACTAAGTTATATATAACTGAAAACCGTATATGATACTAATTACAGTTAAAGAAGGTATTTTTTTTTTTTTTTTTTAAAGACTGATACTGTTGATGAGTGTGCAACTGTTTTAGGATGGAAGTTAGAAACGAGGATACACAGAGTAATTTATATCTATCACAATGACAAAACAATTACTACCAAAAAATTATTCTGAGCAGAATCATATTGTTTCCCTTGTAACCCAGAAACCAGCACAAATTATTCAAGGAATTGGTAGTTTTTCCCAAAACAATAGGGAAAATTTAAAAAAATGATCTTAATGCAACAAATAAATCAAAGATTCTACAAGAAATAATGTACCAATGAAGTTTTTGATCGGAGTGTAATTTCTGGTAGGTATTAGACAAATTCTTTAAAGACACACAAAATACCACATCATAGTAAAACCAATAAATTATTCGCTTCAATCAGAATCTAAAACAATTGCCCGAAATTACTGCAGGCGTGATGGCTTTAGAAATTATTCTTGGATTGAATTATTGTTATTTTCTAAATCACAATAAAATAACAAAATCATCGTAATTACGAAAATGCGCCAGTCATTAATATTATTTATACCATACAATTGATATTCTATCATCGATTATTACACAGATAAAGTCGACTTATTATAGTACTTAGTCGCATGCTGTAAAATCAAAATTGTATGGGCACCAATCCCTTATTAGATTATAGGTATAGATTAGAATGACGTACTGTTAAAAAATATTATAATTTTAATTGAACGATTTTATAAAAATCGCTATCACACTGCTAATGAACGGATGGTATGTTGTATGATCTCCTCCGAGATAGGTTAATCACATACGTACGTGACATAAATAATAAATATATTTATCAATACGCTTTTTATGATATTACCTGATATAAATATTATTTATTACTTTTGCATGTTGAAATAACCTTAAACTTTTATTAAGTATACATTTTGAGAATAATTATTGAATCTCATTATTAAACCTTGCTTTCGCCTATACAATTTCACCTATGGGCGCCCATAGTCATAGGTAAACTAAATTTAAAATAATCTAAAATTATTGATGTTTATACTTCGATTTTGACCCAAAATTGCAGCAAAATTATTGCAGTAGTGTTCCAATCTTCCATAATATATTTCTTAAATCCTTTATTTTTCAAAATAATATTGTGAGATTTCAAATTATAATACATTTGTACAATGGTCAATATTAAACTATTAGTTATCTATCTAATCTATCCTACTTTGGTAAAAATAAGTATAATCGTATGCTTAAAATACATTTAAATTTTATTTAGATCGCTAAGCTGTTTTAGGTTCTGAGCAGAGCGAGGGATATATTGATTTTTCCATGAAGTTTATTTTTTTTTCTGTGAACGAAATTTCTATTAGTAAAGTTGTTCCAATTTTCAAGTATAGCACTTTTTCTGAAATGAAATCTGACTGGAGTATAGTGCATTAAGGTGGTTATTATTTGATTTCCTCAAGAGTTTTTCCAATAATTGGAAAAAACGAGAAAATGTACGAAATGTTTTATTACGGCTTTTTTTTTCTGTGAACAACTTTTTACCAGCAATTTTCCTCTGATTTTCAAGTGTAGTACCTTTTCTGAAAGGAAATTTTCCTAGAATGGTACAATAGGAAGATGCGACAGTTTAAATTTAATTTTATCCTGAGTACATGTACATTTATTATCGACAAACTATCTTTAACAAAGATTGAAATAAAAATAAAGCAATAACGAATTATTGGTAATTTAACACGAAGCCGTGAAGAGAAGGAAAAGGAAAAACTGAGAGATTCAAAAACCACAGACTTACAGTATACACGTATAGTTACAATAAAGTTTGTAAAACCGCACACTTACTGTAATGTGTTGAAACCGCACATTATTTTAAGGGTTCATGTACTTATTCGTAAACCGCACTCTTTGGTTTTTTCAATATTTATAATATCATGATGTTAATAATATGATAATATTATTTTATACATTTATACAATGAATTCCTTCTTCATAGTAATACACATAAAAAATTAAATAAAATAAACTGACGCCTTCAAAAAAACGTATACGATTTGCCCCGACCCTTAACAATTAACGTTTCCCAGAAATTGTCCGAAATTGTATTAAGTATATAACCTAACTTAATATGTATTAATAATATTGTTATTTTATTATTTAGGTACGTTGTATTTTAATATATGTATGTAATATTATCAAAATACTTCAAAAATACAATTCATTATATTGTAACCTAACGTAACCAATTGATAATCTAACATGATTACATAACCATGATAACTGTAAACTAAAACCATATTATATTGTTTAGGCCATTTCTCTAGGAAACTTTTGGGCACGCAATAGAGTGGATACATTAGACATTCAATGTACTAAGATTTTATTTATTACATGTCCATTAGAACTGTACGACTTAATTTGAGTGGACTATATGATGATACGAAAGAAAAACAACGAAAAATCGTTGTTGGCGAATTATGAAAATACTCTCGCACAAAATATAGTTGTTATTACCGAAAATTGATAAAGTGTGTGGTTTTCGTTTATCGACCAAAACCATAAATGCACCGGTTTCGGTAGTAATCGCAGTAAAGGGTATAATATAGAATTTTTAAATTGATTATTATGTTCGCGACCCACTGGAATTTATACGAAACTCTGATTGGTATTGTTTCTTTCTTATTAAGTATCCACTGCAGTCGTGGCGGGATTAACGTATGTGCGACTGGCTGTAGTGCACTTTCCTAGTAAATGTTCTTAAATAAATGTTTTAAACAAGAGTGACTCAATAAATATATTTATATGATAATTTAATTTGTATTTCGATGTTTAGAGTGTGAGCCCGGGACCGGTCCAAACGGAAATGTTGGCGAGTGTTTCATCGCGATTCAGAGATGCGAAGCTAATTGCAAATTTTAAAATCCTTAACCCAGAAGATATCGCAAACGCCGTAATTAGTTCACTGTCCACTCCACCCAATGTTCTGGTAAGTGGTGATGACGTTATTATTTACATTTATATTCATCGATCTTTTTTGCAAAGGTCATAATCCTAAAACCAAAAATTTTACGGAGAAAATAAAAAATGTTTCCTATTTAACATGACAGATATACGAATTTTATATAAAAATTTACATATTATTCAGTGCTATAACTCCCATCCGTAGTGCTCTAAGAAAATTATGCATACTACACCTAGCTGGCACAAATTTTAATAAATTGGGGGAAAGAGGGGTTAAAAAAAAGAGCTAAGTCTACAGCTTCATCAAATCCTTATCTAGTAAATACAGTGTACTTGTAAAATAAAATATATATAAACAAATAATCAAAATTACAGAGGCTTCAGTCTCTCTCCAAAATAATTGAATTATTTGCACATAAAAATGTTAAAAAAAGGAGCTGAAAATGTCATGTACTCATGTATTATACAATTTTAATATTATTTATTATTTTTTTTTTTAATACTTCATTATTAATTCAATATTTTTAAAAAAAATTACCTAAATTTCGAGTTTTGTGGCAAAAATAGTATCATTGTATACAGTAGGTTCCAAAGAGTATATATTTAGAATTTATTTAGAATACTTTATAAATACTTACTAAATTAAGGATTAGGAAATTATTTTAAACACTGTCTTGAATGTGTTTGTTTTTGAATTTCAAGCAATTCCATGTAAAAACTTTTATTCATTCAAAAATTGAAAATTCCGTGTTGTTATTTAATATTTAAAGTAATAAAATAATACACTATAATTTATATTCTGTGATTTGGATCACGAGTTAATTTGGTTTCAATAAGAAATAAACCAACTGAGTAGAAAAGTTGTTCGTAACTCGGTAATCAGCTGATTGAGGGTCGCTTCTATATTCGGTGATAATACGGTCGTACTCTACGGGTGAACCAAACCCAAGTTATATTTTACATACTGAAAAAACATATAAAATTAATTTCAATACAATCATTAGTATGTAAAACGAAGACTCAACACAAAGAGGAAGAAAACTTTTTAATACTTTTGATTATATTAGCTATAATCAATAAACATATATTTTAATTATCAAATTTTAAAGTCTTTAGGTATATGAAATGAAATAAACTTTGCTCTCCCCGCCCCATGCAAATTTCCCGAGTCACGCTCATACCACCAAAAGAAATGCATTGGTTTTACAATAATGTTTTTTTTTTTTATTTAGATAGCAGAAATGATCGTAATACCTACCGGAACCACGATACAACAGCACAGCCAACCGAGTGTTGAAGTCGTTGAAAATATATTAAAATCATGAATTTTTTTTTTTTTTATCATTTACCTAAAATATAATGTATACATACCAAAATTATTGATAAATAAACGTGAAACCAATTATTATTGTAATTAAGTGTACATTTATAATTATTATTAAATTATATTTTATATATATATAAAATAATAATAATAATTGCATTTTTAATTAAATTTAAATTCATATAATATTAAAGGCAGATCCCGTGGCACAAGGGATAGGTAGACACATGTCACGAAATTTCCTTGTAGACGTATGCTGCTGAACCTGAACTTTTCCGGACCGAAAAATATATACGAGCAGATAACAGTAGCTGCAGCGAACATCGTTTCTTTTCGATGGAACACGTAGTATAATAATAATTACATACAGAGCACAGTCAGTACAGACCGTGTCACAAATTTATAATTATTATTCAAAAAGGTTTGTGGTACATACGATAAATAAAATACTACGTTAAATTATAAGAGCTTAATATTATAATCTTTCTTATTAGCTGTTGATTAGTTCCGGTTTAAAATCGTAATTCAGAAAAACAAGGCAAGACTATATATTTTTTTCGGACATTTCTTTTGGATAGCCTCGAATATATTAATAAAAACTGGTGCAACAGTAATGCGATTTTATTTTCTGTATATGTAGAAATTTGGTGTATTATGGACTTGCTAAGTTCAATTAAATCCAAGGCAAAAAGAAGACAATAGTCTCATAGATATATACGGTTCTTTCCATCTACTGAATACTGTTCAATACATAACCTGCATTTTACTACAAACAAAAATATGCTAAAGACGGGTGTGCCATTGTTGCAAGTAAAATGTTGTCATGATAGAATACACAAAATTATTTTATTTATAACTGTATATCAAGTTTACTGTATATAACTGTATATTTTAGCGAAGTTTTATTTAAACTCAAACACTTCTAAGAAAAAAAATCAAATACACTAAGTAAAATTGTTATGGACCTTGTGTTAAACTTTCAAGCGTTAATTTTATTCGGTTAATTAATTTTGTCCACACAATACTTACAAATAAAAACTAAAAAATGTTAAATATCTATAAATAGCACAAATCGGTAAAATAATTTGAAAATATTTACCACGCCTAGAAAAAACTAATATAAATATTCAGTTCTACGTTGTTTTTTTACCGATTTACAAAAAAATAAACTATAATAATGAAACCTTTAATGCCGTACATATTTTTGGTTTTCTTAGGTATATTCCCAATCATTAAGAAAACTACTTGGTATATTAATAAAAACCTTCTTGAATTTTTTTATCAAAAAATATGCTATTCTTAAAATTTGGAATAAGATTTCTAATAGAAAACAAAATCAAAAATATTTTAAATAATGAAATTGTAAATGTATCCGTTTTTCTTTTACGGTTCATTCCCATTCATTAAAAAAACTGATTAAAAAATCAAAATGTCATCTCTTAAATGCACCAATTAGATTCAGAACTCAACTAAAACAGTATTTTGAACATCATTATTTGAGTGGATCATGAATTCTGTTAGAAAAATTGTTTATAGATAAAAAAAAAAACACAATAATTATAAGTAAGTACACATCATAGTAAATAATTAATAAATTCCTTTCTACTCACATAATTTATAATTAAATTATGTATACATCATAGTTATTAAGCCAACACATTCCTCGCTTCTCTCGAGAACCAAAAAATTATGAATAAAATGTAAATGTTTACTGAACTTAGCTAAAAGAATATTTGTTTTCCAAATAATGCTTCAAACTAACGTAGGTTGTTGTGTTCGATATTTAACAATACAAATTAGTATACCTAAATATACCTACCGACTGACACACTATACGATTTTATAATTTAAATTAATTTGTCATGAAATATTTCTATACAAATTTAAAACAAACGACATATGAAAAAAAAACTCTTAAAAATGTACGAAAGTTAAGTAATACGTATCTTGTCGTGTACTTGATCGTCTAACAGTTTTGAAATGCAATCCGCACTAAAACTAAATTGCACATTCTAATGAAAAATAAATAAAACAAAGTAGTTTATTAAATTTATTTTGTTATAATATTAAATGCAATAACTTTTATTTATTTTATCTTTGCTGCGGTTACCAACATTCAAAAACACCCTAAGACATTTCTTTATGTTTACCTATATGCCAATAATAATTGTTCTTATACCACTAATATCTATACTAAGAAAATGATTAATTTGTATACATTATTATATGTCAAATAATTTATAAAATTATAAATGTTTCAATTTAATTGTTATCATCGAGTCAAAAAATATCTTTAATACTAAAAGACATGAGGGCCGCAAGTAATTTTCGAAATTAATATTCGGCCCTTTCCAAAATCCTAGTGAGGAAGCCATGTAGATTATATAGAAGTGGCTATTCTAAAAGGTATGTATATTTTTTTTCAAATGTGATATTAACAAACAAAAATGTGGTAAATTCTGTTTATATTTTAGAAATATTTAAAATCGTCATCAAAACCTTAATAAACTTCATAAACACGTTAAACAACATAATTCCGTTTTTAAAATCAAAATCCGTCAAACACAAATCCTACAATGTTGACTAGCTTATCGGTCTAAACACCACGTTTTTCAATGACTGTAACTTGCTTAAGCCAATTAATGTAAAACAAATAGATAAGTGTATAGTTTTATAGATCCACGGTTTTGAGTTGAAAAAACACTACGGTCTTAATCTTAATCCACCTGTTATGCAGTCGCATGTGTATTTTTTATTTGTATACATTATTTTATATTGTTGTTTACGACAAAATGAAAATAATATATTTTTTTAAAAAACAAACAGAAAGTTTAGTATAAATTGTAAAATTTTACTATAATGCCTCGACTTTATGACATCGTTAAAAACAAATTTGTTTTATGATTTTGAAGATTTTATTTTCAAATTCGTATTTGTATATAACTTTGGTAAAGTAAATTATAGATATCAAGTATGTACACAATCAGATCAACGAACGTTTCAATGTTATAACCAACGATATTTGTTTGATAACGTCGTCGAGCATGTAATTATTATTATTACTGTTTGTTTTACAGGCTTTTATCTATTATGCCGATTTAGTTGACAGTTTTTTATCGCGTGAGCACTTCGTTTTATGTAATTTATTTGGTGTTATCTATACCTACATGTCTTTGTTTTCCGTTAAATATTATTTTAACCTAAAAGTAAACTATATACCTGTAGGTATAAAAGGTAAAAAACAAAATTCACCTCATACCTATACGGACTTTCAATCATTTTTTTTTCCTTAATTTTTATTAGACTCTCAGTAGAGCGAGAATTTTTTTTATATGAAACAAATTTTCTACCAGAAATCTTGCTCCGATGATCATATACTAACCATACCATGTATAATATGAACATCAAGTATAGCATCTTTTCTAAAATAATAATTTTGTCTATTTGGTGCATTGAGAATGACAGTAGGGTATTTTTGATTTTTTGTGTACTTCGCTTAATAGTTGACAAAAAACAGTAAAAAAACCGAAAATAACAGTTTCTGTTATTTTATGTTTTTTTTTTTTTGTAATTTGGTTTAAAATAATCGTAGGGATCTGAAATTTGCATAGAGTACATTTTTTAAAGTTTTTATTTGGTTATACGTGAATATATTTTTTTTTTCAGCTAAGCATAAATGTACAACAATTTAACACAGGGTTTCTTTTTATAATTTTTTGAAAAGAGAAGATTTTTAGCATTATCACATTGGGCTGGGTTCTAAAAGTTCGATATTCTGAAAAACAGTTCCAATAATTATGGTATTTTAAACGAAAATGTTCAGTCTTTTAATAAACGACCTGAAAAAACTTTTTCCGAGACAAAGTTTTAAAAGCTGATACTGTTGATGGATGTGCCGCTATTGTAGGTGGAAAGTTAGAAATTTAAAATACATAGAGTTAGTTTATATCCGTACGCAACGAATCATTGCTTATAAAATACGGTTCTAAATGAAGTTCGCTTAAATATGTTTCGTCATTTTTACAATGTTTGTCAAAATTTGAACCTAAAGCGCGTATAAAAAAAAGTATTATATTACATTCAATTTTTTTTAACTATAACCGGTAGAACTAAAAACGAACCTCTTTTAAATTGTTTATTATTTCTGTTAAGCTACATAATTTTTTCCAAATTAAAACTAAATACACTTAAAAGTGTAAAATGCCTACTAGAAATAGTTTAAAGATCGTTAAAACGAAATCTAGAACATCTACAAAATTCGACTATAAGTATTCTGCAGTTTACGACTATTTATAAATCGAATGGCAACATTAAAACAAAATTCAGAATTCTACTTTCTAATTTCTTATTTTTCCCAATTAATAGGTATAAAAACCGCAAGTTAATTTTTAAAATTTTCTTAATGCACCATTTAAATGAAAAATGCTACGAAAAAGTACTTTATCATTTATTGATTAGAGCAAGATCTCTGGTAAAAAAGTTGTTCACAGACACAACGAAAGAAAATCGCACAAATCATAGCTAGCGCTAAGAATCTAGCATTAAAGTTGAGACGAGAGTATTTCTACAATGATTTGAGAAAAAACTGAGAATTTTATTTTTCTGTTTAGTTGACGTAATGATGTGTTCCCGTGCGAAAATACGGCCGCAACCTATTGAACCGCACTCGCACTATATTTTATTTATACAATCGCCCGCACTGACACGACCCGTAAAACCTGCAAACGAAATTGCCTATACTTCGCTCCTTTATATTATAAATCACCGGTTCCGACAGCATTATAATATAATAATATATTATATTTATATCAAAATTGTAAAAGTATATAGGTAAGTACCAACTGGACTCGATGACCTCAAAAAAAGTGTAAAAAAAAACTTCATCACTACCAGACTACCCATGGACAAATTTTCTGCCAGCTATTTTATATAATAAAAATATACTTTGTAAAACAATAAATAACCAAATATTATATCTTTGGTTCTCGAGAAGAAAGGTTTAAGTAAATTTCATATAGTTTTCAACACAAGTGAATTCAATTTTGAAAATCCATACACTTGTCCATAAACTAACACACTTATACACTACATATACTAATTTAAAAATTGCAAATACCTACTTATTCAATATAGATAAACAAATAAATGAAAAAAAAAAATGTCATTGTTCAGTCACATCCAACCTCCAATCACCTCTTTTCGATCTTTTTTCTCCCTCTTTCTTCCTACATTTACTTTCATTAAAATCCTTGCAGTAATGCCTCTGATATTGTGAAGCTTTCGAAAAAATATTCTGAATATTATTTTTTGTTTTAGAATATTTTTTCTTCAATACTATTAAAAATAATTATATTGTTGGTTAAATATTTAATTACATATTATTACATATAATATACTTCATATTTAAAACCTTATAATTTTTCGATTCTGAGCGAAACGAGAAATGTATTGGTTTTAGAATATTGTTTTTTTTTTTTTTTTTATTATTATTTGTAAATAACTTTTCTTTCGGAAATCTTGCTCCGTTTATTAAGTGTATTATCTTTCCTGAAAGCACATTTAATCTAGGTCATTTTTTGATTTTCCAAGTAATTGTAAAAATAATAGGGAAAAACTGGGGAAAATCACAGGAAAAACCGGAAAAATTACGAAATATTATATTATTTTCAATTTTCAATTTTTTTTATGATTCAGTTAAAAATTTTCGTAGAGATTTGAAAATTGGACAGAGAAACTTTTTTATAATTTAACTTATATTTTCAGAATGTGGTCGAATTTTCTAAATATTTATGTAATTTATGAGCTAATTGAAGACATTTAAATTTTTTATGTTATTTTTAGGTAGGTAGGTATACTCTATGAATAAAATTATTAGACCAAACAGAAATGATATAAAATTTAACAGTACGTCCATTATAAGTTGAATTTTGTGGCCAAAATAAAATAAAAAATACGTATGTATAATACCAGACATGATATAAATCTCTATTTTCGGTGAAAATTCGAGAAAAAAACTGTAGACTAAACTATTCTATGTCAACTAATTGACATAGAATAATGTCTAAACATGACGCGTTAAAAATTACAGTCTATTTTGTATCATAGAATTCATCGTTGAAAAAATCACATACCATTATCCTTGTATAATATAAATTTTTCCCTCTGACCATCATTATTATGTCCTTAAAAAAAAAAAAACCCCGAAAATGACGATTAATGAGTTTCCCTTTAAATAGGGTACCTAGGTAAATCGTTATATGAAAACAACATTTCTCGAGATAATATCTTACGGACTATTTAATATTTTATATATTCGTATAAGATGCCTTACTAATAACCTTACTGTAATAATCTTTTGCAAATCTAATTTCTGTAGAAAATGGTAACCTTTTAAAAACAAAGATGAAAAAAAAAAATTAAAAAGCAATCAAGTTTTAACGATTTATTACTATCTATTCAATAACAAAGTATTCTTCATTATATTATTTAAGTATCGTTTATAGCTTAGAAAAAAAATACCAAGCACACATAATGTATATAGAACGTTTATGTAAAGTCGGACATTTTTTTAACAGCCGAGCAGTGTAAACCGTTTGTTCATTTTGGCTTTAGTTTTGTACTCGATTGCATGTAGCCAATATTGATTATTACTACGGTGTCGATTATTATAACTACCCGTCTCGAATAATTAAAACACATTTTGTAAAAGGTACCTGCACTTGATAACGGCCATTGCGTCCGGTCAACCCATGTAATTCCCTATGGGTTTCTGGTCTTTTGGGCGTTATAATGCAAATAAATGAATTAATACTGATGATTGCTGGTTTATATTATGTCTGCTGTGGGTGGAAAACTGGGAAGAGTATAGAGTAATTATAGAGTAATTCAATATTGATATGTTTGAACATAATTCATAAATCATTGCCAACAAAAAACGATTCTGTGCGAAGTTTAGAGATTAATATTATTTGAAATATGCCGCAATTTTCAAGCGAATTTGATCATTTAGGTATGAAATAAAATTATTTTTTTAAACTTTATTTTCCCCAATAAAAAAAACTTATGATGAACCTTGTGTAAAGTTTTCAAGCCTTTTCAATTTACTAAAACAATTTTATCCACTTATTAGAACCAAATGAAAACTAAAAATCAATGAAAATATGATATGGCTGTTAATAGCTCACAAATTACCAGAATGTTTTGTAGCAATACAAAAAAAGGTAGGTACAGCTTTATTTAAAGACAGAAAAAACAAATCACTTTTATGCGGGACATTATTGTGTACATCTTGTACGGAAAAAATAGGCAACGGACGGTAGATCACATCCCGAATCCCGAATCCTGTGTATACGCCACTGCTTTAAATGCGCAAATATTGAACGAATGTTTCCGAAAATCATACGCTGTAATTCTATTCATAAATCGATTGAATCAACAACATCTGTACAAAGTAATAATAGATACATTATAGGTAGGTAGTACGTATAATAATATAATAATATAATACCTAGGGACAATTCATCAGTATACTCATATTTCACGTAGGTATGTAGACACCGGCTGCAGCAAATCGAATCGGCAATAAAAATACGTATTGTACAATATTGCGATACTCCGAGTATTGTACCCTTATTATTATATGTTCTGGTGTCTGGCACGTACGTACTGAGTTCTATTTTTGTACCGGGAAATTATTAAATATGGCCCACTTACAAACATAAATCATAATCATAAATCATCTAATTATTAAATATGGCCCACTTACAAACATAAATCATAATCATAAATCATCTAAGAAAACACAATTAAATATGGCCCACTTACAAACATAAATCATAATCATAAATCATCTAAGAAAACACAAAATTGAAAAAGGTAATTTAAGGAAATGGGAGTAAAACAACGTGTTTAAATCAAGGTTCTATATGAGAATGGCCCAATAGGGCACCCCATTCCCAGCACCCCGGGAGCCCAATAAGCGTTTGTCCGGTACAGTATCAAAGTAATAGTAAAGGTATCGTAATGAATAAAAATAATCATATCGATAATATCAATGTTTTTGTTGAACGGTTAAAGCGATAATGATAACATTATCAATTATATGGCATTTTATAATTGACGACTTGGAAATTGAACTGTTAAACATATTATAATAAATGACTAGGCTAAAATCAATACTCGCAGGTTTCAAAAAACGATAAAATGAATTAGTAACATTGTTTTATAGGACTTTTGAACGCAAATCCAAAAAACTTCCAACATCTTCCACCAGAGATTCACTTTTGATTCTCCCTCCCTTTTTTTCCTGTTAACTTTTAATTACCGACCCAAAACACTCGTTACTCAATTCCATTTTTCATTCCTTTTTAATCCGCTAATTATCTTAGTAACGGATTTTTAAGCTGCATAATGAAACTTGTAAATGATAACGCCTCATGCAGTTTCGTTTAGTTTTTTTGTTTTTTATCCATTTAACATTGTTATATTTTATTGTATTTATAGTTACTATATCCAAACTAAATTGTACATTGTTTAAATGTTGGGCGTACGACTGTATCCAATTAATAAATAAAACGCCGAAGAACAGGCCTAAATTTAACTAGAAAGTAGCGGTTCGTTTAACCTGCGTCAAAAATCACATAATCCATTTATAGCTATTAATGTGTGCTTTTTAAAAAGTAGTCATGCACTGTCTTGTAAAATAAACATTTAATTTTAAACATAATGTAATAATAATTATAGTACATTATCGAATTTTATGTACTTATAAATTTAACAAGTAGCGTTTTATAATATAATATAAATAATATAATATGGCATACACATCAATATATTTTCCAAAATAACAATTTAGTTGTACACTTTATTAAAGAGTATTGATACGCTGCAATAGTATATCAAACGTAATAATATTTTATGTATTATTTCTTTAAGTGTACATTTTATACATATATAATAAACTATAGTTTAAGTGATTATTTTTAAATATTCATTTTTACAGTATGGTAAAGTGGTGGTCATATGATTTTTTCACGGACGAGTGCAGTGGGGATGAGGTGGAATTTTCAACATTTTTTAACAATTATCAATATACAATATTAATACAATATTAATTTAATATTGTATTTATATAAAAAGTTTTTTTTTTTTTTTATAAATATACAAACAGGTAATATAATATTATGTGTTATTATAAATATTGAAGGGAAAAATGTCGTGGTTGGAGAATACATACCTCTCATCCCCTTTCGCGTTACCACCATTGGTAAGATATAGGTTATAGATACTAAAATAAAGTTCTTAAAATTTAACCCTGAATTTATTTTATAAATTAAATTACCTAAAATTGTTTTTTTGTGTATTACACATACCAATGGCTCTCAACCTATTTTTTTTTATTTATTTGACTCTTCCATGACAATCTAACACTGCTCGTTCTTTCATCAAAATATGCATAATGAAATAAAATACTAGATTTTAACCATTTTAAACTGTAGATTTAAAAAAAAAAATGATGATTATATTCAAAAAAAAAATATATAAATAGTACATAGATACTAAAAATACTAAGATACTATACAAAATATTTTCATTTCATTTCCTGAGGATTTTATGTCACCCTGGTTGAGAACCACTGACTCTTACAATAAAATTTAATAATATTATAATATTTGTTATATTGAAACAAAAAAAAAAAAAAAAAAAAAACATTTTAATTTTAAACTAGTGTTTTTTAAATATTTTTTTTTTACTTACGGATGTGAATAGACCACTAACCGGAAATATCAAACAATTTAATTGTAATATTATCTTTTCTACGGGCAAACATTACAATAATCATAATAATAATTATTATTATACTATATTGTCTGCTTATTATATCAGTATTTTGGCTATTATTTAATATTATTATAGAAAGACATATTGTTAACTCTAAACAAGTAATAATAAATTTAATTTAAATATTAAATAATAATATTATTATTATTTCACTCAAAAATGATCACAGACGATTAATTAATAATTAATATCTTTGTAGAGGTAAGTATTTTCATGAGACCATTTATATTTTCGCTATAGGTAACCTGTACCTGACTATAGGTCATTTGCTTCTGATTTTATTTATACGTTTTACGTTTATTTTTTTTTTGAAAAGGCTATCCTGTAAAAACGAAAGAAAAAACAAAATCAATAAAAAACGAATGTAATATTTTACAATACTTGCAATCATAGGCGCAAATAGGAGTGCTTGGAGGTGAAACCCCTTCTAAAAATCAGCCAAACCCTCTTAGATCAGATCCTTATAAAGTAAATACTAAGTATACATAATCAATATTATGGGATGTTAAGCTTCCACAAAATATTTTGGATATTTGCGCTTATGCGCGCAACACAAAATAATAATACGCTTACTTTTAGTAGTTGAATTTTACCGTTCAAAGACGATCGGGTACCGATATGTTGAAAAAGCGATGGACTGTACATCACCCATATTTCGTTTTTACGTTTTCGACAATCTCTCTAAAAATTACATTTGATAGAATAAGCTGATATTAAGGGTAAGATATTGATTCAGTTATCATCGGGACTTGTGTCACAATTTTATACTATGAAACAAATCGGTATTTTACGATTGATTTAAACAAGAAAAATACCATGCTATATAATATACGTACTAAAATAGTTATACAAGTTCACTAAAAAAAGGCTATAGTTTTCGAATAACGTTTTTATTATACTCACATCATCTTTTTCAAGATTACAAGCCTTTGTGCCGATCATTCCGTCTAGAAGCCAATCGCCCGGTTTGTCGTTGTAGAACATCACGATAAACTGGATTAGCCATGGTAAATCTGAACATCTCATCATTTTTCCTATATTTATATACAGATAAAAAATATGGGGAAATATCGTTGCTTATCTCCTCGAAATTATATTTTTCAAAACAGATATAATTTATTTAATTTAGATGCTTACCGATAAATCCGAGACGGCAAAAGTCCAATATAAACCACTGCTGTCCATTGGCTATCTTCTGTAAAGCGGTTTTTTTCATAATACTGTGGAACTGAGGTTTCGCGACCACATCATCTTCGAGCTGAACGTAAAACGAACCCTTCGGTTGGCAGTACATCATTAAAAACACAAAATCCAAATTTTGTTTGCTCCTCCAGCGAACCCGATCTTCGGAGTCACCTAATGTGAGACGCAACTTGCTGAAATCCGGATAGTATTCCGGAGATGGCGCAATTATGTCCAAGAGACCTGAGTTCGCGGCTTCCGGTAGTCTGAAATCGGCAATATTCAATTACTTGTATGTGCTTTGTACATAATATATTATGATCACGTATGATTATAATAACATATTGACTTACCGGCTTTTTATTTCTTCGGTGACTTGTTTTATATATTCTTGGTCGGTCTTCAAAATTTAATACATAACCCAATACAAAATAACTTATTAACTTATTTACGATTACCCTATCATAGATAATAATTAATGTAAAGTATATAGGTATATTACCTCGCCAATCATCACTACTATCAACGAGTCTTTCTGCTCCGTTTGATTCATGTTGCTTACAAGATTGATTAACGTTTGAATTAAATAGGTTTGTTGGCGCCGAACAGTGGGAACTCCAAATACTATAGACACTAAACAATAATATAAATAACTGTAAGTGTATTAATATTGTTTGATGTGTTATATATGAATGAGTGAAAGTTCACTTCGTCGGCTTAGAATTAAAGAAACGTATCAACCAAAACCGATTTTTTTAAAAAAATGTTTAACGCATATTAACCGATGACGAATACTGCTAAAAATTCTGTTTCACACAATCACGAAGTCGCCAATGGTATTAAATTACTATTAATATACGTAAAGCTTTGTTGATAATTTCGGGGTATTCATATTTTATGTAATTCCGAAATGTTAAAAATCGAATAGTCGTAAGATAAATGTGTATAATATTCATTTCGTGCCTCGCCTATTAAGTGCTCATGCCTCCCTGGGGATGGGTGGATCACATTTTGAGAATCTCTGATATATTATGCTATAATGTCGTTTCTGCAATTTACCTATATTGGCCACAATGTTTAAAATTTATTTTATTTTACTTCCGTACTTGTTCCTCGGGCGTATTACCGGCTCTAACCGGCTTAGAGCTCTAGCGCCATATTCGAATACGTTAGTAAAATTGGCTTATGAAATTAGGTAAAAAAAATAATTGTACAATTACAATTTTAAATAGGTTTCTTATGACCGAATAAAGCATTGATGGTATACTAGTGGGTTAACACGGTGTTTGTGAATTTCATTGGGTTAAGTTCGTTCCCGAAAATATTATGGAACAAATTATTTCGCGGTTTTTATTTTTTCTCCCTCTGTTGCTTATACTAGACATGGTTTTGTATAATAAATCGGAACTTATTTTCGATTAAAAGTCCAATATAAACACGTTAAGCTAGCGAATAGAAGTGGCTAAAACAAAGAAATTTTATTAATAGGTATTATAATAATAATGTGCTAGTTCAATACACTATTTTAAATTGGCCAATGAATTCAGCATATTCTTCTAGTAAAGAACTAAAGTATTAACGTGAACAACCTGCATTTCTGTTTCCGGAATGAAGTATCAACGGCCTTAAATAGTTCTTATGGGATCGAAGATGAGGCAAGAACGTGAAAACGTCGAAATTGGCCATCGGCGACCTGATCGTTTCAATAGACTTGTTGTACGTGGCTATCAACGATTCGATTTCATCGGTAACGGAAACATTTAACGATTTCACGATTGACTTCAATACCGAACTGAAACGTTTGATCAGGTCCTGTACATCGTTGTCTTTTAGCTCGTACAATCTAGTGAGTTGATCCACGCGCATTTCCATCTCTGCCATCTTATACGCCACCGTACTGTGTTCGTATAAATCTCGGGAATCTGTAACATGTCCAAAAACACAATAAAATAAACGGGACGATTAAAAAAGTTTTGAAAGAAAAAAAAAAAAAACAATAACAATTGTAAATTTACATTGTTCAAAAAAAAAAAATAATTACAATAATAATAATATATTCTACTGATTTAAAAATGATTTTTTTAACGCGGTTATTAAAAATGAAACTCCTAAAGAAAAAAACCAAGAAGATATACTATCGTCACGGAAGCGTTCCTAGAATAACCAACAACAAAAGGAGAGATAATCTCTCGCATACAAGAATAACAATTAATATTGTTATCAAAAGAAAACATTATAAAGTAAAGAAAAAAAACTATCCTTGGATAATAGCAACGGGTGCAGCCACTGTTGTAGGTGTAAAGTTGGGGAAGTAGGATATAGAAGGGAATTTAATGTATATCTCGTAAGCAACGATAAACCATTGCTAACGAAATAATGACCCTGAGCGAAGTTCAGGATCGTTATTTTCAACAATATATATGTCATATTACGGTAAAATAATTAAAAAGGCATTATATATTTTTTTTAAATTAAAATATTTGTTTAATATTGTAATGATTTTCCCGTTTTCTTACGTTTTCACACTTGCTGGGAAAACACTTAAGAAAATCAAAAAATGACCTCATTAAAGTACCTTTTCAGTCAGATTTCCTTTTAGAAAAAGTTCTACTATTGTATATTAGACCGAAATTGTTGGTAGAAAAGTTATTCACACAAAAAAAAAAATCGTAATATTTTACTAATATATTTCATATTTGATGAGAAAACTGCTGAAGAAATTTAAAAATTTCCTCCATAAAGTACTACTCTAAGAAAATTTCCTTTGAAAATAACTACGGAAACTTTCAACTTTACTGACAACATTGAAAACATAACCAACCTATGACATCCTGAGTAATAGGATAATACCGATAAATAATTCAGTTTGAAAATACTGCGATGTAGTATTATTGTAAAGAAAATAAATAAATAATTGATTCGGATTGTGATTCCTATTTTGTTAATTTTAGCTCTTAAAAAAATATATCCAGAACCGACATTGGGTGTAAAGAAATATAATATCCGTATCCGTTTGGTAAAAAAAAAATCTTCCGTTAAAATGTAACGCGTTTTCTTAATTGCCCTAGCAAAATAGCCGAGTTATCTATTATAACACCTAATACAAAATAATAACTTACTTTGCGAACAGTGTTTATTTACACAATAACTAAAAAAAAAAAAATGTGAATGCACTCAAGATTTAAGATAAAGAGTGCATATACTTAAGACTAGATTCAATGACCTCCAAGCAAAGACTTAACTAAATAAAATATACATTATAATCTTCTTGAATAATTATAAATTCTATGCACATACAAGGGCACCCACAGACAGAAATGCAAGGAAAAAGAACCCCGATTTCTTTTAAAAACGCATTTTGTTGAACTGGATTAATTATAAGCTGCATTTATCATAAAACTTAAAACATTACTATTAGTTTACATTTTATATTTTAAATATAAATAAAAATTTTCCAATAAATATTGTCCAATTTTTTTCAAATTTAGGGATAAGTTGACCCCCTTTCTTTGCGAGCAATTACCTATTAAAATTAAAAATATATATATATATGTTTAATTGGGTTGAATGAAGGCGATAAAGTCGTTATCGAATTACGCTTTACTATACTGGATGCATTTAAAAAAAAAAAAAAAATTTAATTTTAATTTTTTAGATTCTGAGTGAAGTGAAGAATTTAAAGGATGTTAATGTATTTTAGGTTGTTAGGTTGTATTTTCTGAGTAAAAATCTCCAGATAAGACTTTTTCGATTAATACCGATTTTCTCATAGCATGAAAATTTGGATTTTCTGTCTGATGATACTTCATCGGAAATATTTTGCAAAATACCAAATAATTATAAGTTTTTTTTAAGTATTTTTTCTTGTTGGGGAAATACTCTATATTTTTCCTGGTAGTACTTCAAAAGATGAAGAATGTTTGTAATATTTAATATGAAACATTTAACGAAACGCAGTTTACCACGAAGATATTTTTCTTAGATTCTAAGCGAAGCTCAAACAATGATGTTTATTTTATTTATTTATTATATTTTTTTTTTTAATGTTTGTGAAAATTGTTATTAAAATGGTTTATATGTACCTAGTTTCCCAAGTATCGTGCTCATATTGTACATTTTTCTAAAAACTAATTGTTAATATAGATACATTAAACAATCGTTTAACTTTCATATCTGTGTTTTGTGTATACAATGATATAATGAAAACAACGTAAACAAAAGAGCTGATACTGGGAGCGTGTGCTGCCACTGTTATAGGTGGATAGTTGGGAAGGTCTGATAAATAAATTTGTTTAATTTATACCTGAAACCAACGATAAATTATTGATAACGAAAAACGATTCGAAGAATTTTCGGTTATACATGTTTTAAAATGCCGTAATATTTACAATTTCCGTCAGTATTCAACATTAAAATTTATAAGGAAAAAATAATACTAAATTTATACTAAATAATACTCGATTTTATTTTTTGAAACAAGATTAAATTTTTTATTTCTGGTATTTACCCGTCGTGGTTTTCTAAAAAAAAAAATTTTGGAACTTGGGTTTGAACTCGCGACCCCTGGAATGACAACAGATGCGTACTACAATAGATTACGACAGAAATATTGTAAAATTAACAATATCGAGTTACACATTAGAAACTAAGTCACTCCGCTCATTTCTTACTTCACCATCGTTCTTTAATTGACAATAGGTATACATATTTTTAAAATAAATAAAAATTTTTTTTTTTTTAATTATAAATTTTTTTCATATTGTATTTACAAATTTTACCACAAATCTTACTCCTATATTCAAGTGTAGAATCTTTTCTAAAAGGAACTTTTATCTAGTTGGTACTTTAAGTACTTTAAATTCTCGGTGATTATTTTCAACCGTATTATAAAAAAATAAAATGAAAATTAATAAAAATAAAAATAATGAAACCGTTCATGAAATTAACTTTCTCAGTTTTTTTACATTTTTTCCCAAATAACAAATTTCCGATACACTTACTAGAAAAAATTGTATTTCGGGAATAATGCTTTTTTTGGAATTTAGAACAAGGTTTCTGATAGAAAAATTTTAAAAAATAAAACTTTTAATGTGTTAAATGTATCCATTAGTATCCCCGGTTTTTAACAATTATGAAGAAACTACTAGGAAAATAAATCATCAATGAACCAACTAGAATCAAAAATAGTACAAAAAAGCTCTCTTGTCGTAATTAATTGAAGCAATATTATGTATGGTGTTAAAAATTGTTTACAAACAGAAAAAAATCATAGTAAAACTAATGCAATTCTCGCTATGCTCAGAACCTAAACGTATCTGCACGAAACAATTAATCATTACTAATTGAAAATACGATTCTGGGCGAAAATCAGTGAAATATGTTTTGAAATGTTATGATTTTCATTATTTTCATTCAAACTAGAATTTGAAACAAACATTAAAAAAAATAACAGTAAGCAGTAAAATGCTCAACTTTTGTCTACCACTAGATAGTACAACAATGTGTTGAAACTGATTTCTTCAATACACTAAGTAAACTACTAAAAAGTACACTTGATGATAATCAAATAAAAATATATGGTGAAAAAGTTGGATAATAGACAGAAAAAACCACACACACACACACAAACACGTATGATAGTAAAACACTTGATTCGCTAAGGATCTAAAACTTAATGATTTTACAATTATCACAATATATCCATGATAAATGTTTATAAACTCGTTTTCTTTAAGTACCTTAAAAGTTCTGACCCCTGCATCTCTTTTAATTTATATTAAGTTATTCCCCATCTTACAGTCTTCTTCTCTTCTATCAATTATCATACTTACTATAATTATATTATGCTATCAGGACATGTTCAACCATTCTCCAAAGCCTTGCTCTGATCGTATTCATGAAAGCGACCAAAGAATGCGATGAATGCGATAATATTTTTTTTGAATACTTTGAACTCTATATGTTGGGTAGTACTGTAACGGAATGTGCACTTAATATTTAGTTTGGGTTTATCTGTATGATAAAAAAAAAAATAAAAATATTATAAATTTCGAGTAACTTGGAGGTTATATATTATCATATTTTTTAATTATTTTGAATTTCAATAGCAGCACTTGACGTCTGCAGTACATAAAACACTTCATAAAACTCGTATTTGTTTTGAGGTTTTCCAGGTAATCTGATTGCGGATAGATATAATTATACGTTATTTTTAAGTAAAAATAAAAATTGCGCATAATAGAAAGAAATGATGTTATTTTACTTGAGAGGTACTTCTAAAAGCGTCGATGAAGTTGAACTAATATATATATATATATATATATATTACGCGATACCTATTGAAATTTATACACACCGAGTTCGATTTTACACTACCCACTATAAATTATAATAATATGACGTCAACCGCGTGATGATTTTGTCATTCGTCGCTAAAAATATATATAGCGAGATAAAAAAAAAAAAAAATTAAAAATATAACAGTATTTCATTTGATTTTCAATAATAAATATTGCGGTAACTGCAGGGCTAAAGTTAAACCATCGAATAAATATTGTCACACGCCATTATATTATCATTTGTACGAATTGAATTTGGAATCAATAGGGTATTGATCTTAATTTAAAAAAAAAAAAATCTTAGTAACCTATACAACAGTGCACGAATCGGAGGTGCACAAGGGAACGCAATTCCCCCACGAGTTTTCGGAGTTCAATAATCGAATGAAACGTTTATTTTTTGTTTTTAGTCCATAGTCCCTCTTCTATAATTTTTCCAATTCGAACACTGATTATTAGTAGATCATATTATCATTTATAAAATAATTATTAAAGATATTCATCAACTATTTTCCTGATTTCCATATTCTTTCGAAAAACTGTCCGTTTTTGAAATAATTATAGATTCGTTTGTTTCAACAATATATTTTGTAGTGTTTACTCCGAATTCTCATATCTAAAAGGAGTTTAACATTTATTTTAAAATGAAAATAATCTCCCATTTTCAACACACATTCGAAAAATTAATATTTTTTCAAGTAATTTGATTTGCATAATATATCGTATTCTTTTTTTTTAAAGTGTAACTTTATTAAAACGTAAATATTAGTTAATATTAGTTAGGTTAAAAAATATTTAAATGAACAATGAGCAATGAAACAAACTAGACGTATATTATATATATATATATTCTTACCTACCAGATATACTGTCTAACTTTTATAAGTTTACTATTTAGACCCAAGAAGTAGTACCGCAACCAATGGCAAAGGAGTATAACCCGTCACTGGAATTTTGAGAATTTTTATAAATTCTACGTACAACTTAAATAGTTTCTTTATAATCTTAAATTCCGAGCGTAGCGAGGGAGCTATTGGTTTTACAATGCTGTTTATTTCTTTCTTTCTTTCTTTCTTTGTTCTAGTCTGTGGACACGTTTTTTCCTAGTAAACTTGCTCTTTTCTGAAAGTTCAAGTTATCTGTCTAGATTGTACTTTAGAGAAGTCATTTTTTAAATAAAGCACTTAAGTGGGAAAAAACATAGGAAAACGTACAATTTCACGATTTTATTATTTTATAAAAACACGAACGACGTTTTCTACCAGAAAAAATGATTTAATCAAAAAATCATAAGATATCTTTTTTTGTTGCCTCTTTGATTTTTTTACAGTATCATTATCAAAACTTTTGAGCTTTTAAGGAAATTTAATTTTTGGGAGTTAATTTGCTGTAATTCGATTATAAATACACGTAGAGACTTGAAACTTGTTAATAATACTTATATTGGATTTACCTAGACGTGGTAAAATTTTAGATGCATCAAGTGTCTAAAATCATACTACATTGTTTAAGAATTTAAATTAAAGGTAGGAGCCACTTCATTGGAAGTGTTACTTCATCAACGTGTAAAGTATATATTAACATCTAGTATGTAAGATCTACATCTTGATAAACATATTTATGAAGTAATTTAAATAATAAAGCCTCTGGGCAATTTGAAAAAAAAAAAAAAACATTTCCACATTTCTGTCCCTTAACGCTTCCTTCGCGTTCTCCACTCCAATCTTCCAGAGGTCTACCTTGACTCTATCAGCCCACCGTTGTCTGGCTTTTCCTCTGGGCCGTTTTGTGCTCAATCTTCATTTTTTTACGTTCCCTATTACTGCATCAGATCTTCAAATATGAGTGTCCCATCTTATTCTACTACTCTTCATGATTCTTATAATATTGGCTTCTTTAAATAATCTTCTCAACTCTTCTTTGACCTAACTTCAAATTCACCTTCTTCGTTCTTTTTTGGTCTAAACATTTTCCGAAAGTATTTTACATTCAAAAACACCGAATCCGTTTTAGTGGTTGCCCACGTCTTACACGTATATTATGTTATGGGTCTAATTAAAACTTTGCGAAATGTTATCTTTTATCTAATAGAAAGTAACTTTGATTTGGACAGTATTGATACTCCAATATTTTTAGAAACATATTATTTTTAAATTTAGTTTAAAAATAGGGCGGAGAAATTAATGTTTGGAAATTAATAAATGATATGTGCTTACATGGTGGATAGATTAATGGTAAAATTTTAAATACCTATATCGTGAGTATAATTTCGCTAAACAATTTTATATATGAATCTATGAATATTAAAACATGTAGGAAAATACCTGTTCAAATTATTTGATTTTCCTTGAAAAAAAAAATATTTAATATCTTTGAAAATAACTGAAAAATGATTCATGTTAGATAGAATCTATACGTTTATACAATCATTTTCCGGAAAATTTCGTAAACAACTTATCCAATTTTTCAAGAATTGGATAAGTTGTTTAAGGAGTTTTTTTGTCTTTCTTGAAGAATTTAAACATTTGAATATGACATGACGACGCCAATGTGCCCTTTCTGCATTAATATAAATAATGACTTAAGATATCAAAATCAATTTACTCAAAATCGTTGTAGATTAGCGCTGGATCGAAATTAAAAATCATCCTTAGTTATATTTATTATTTTTACTTTTAATCCAATTATTTTTGTTTTATTATTTGAAATTTTCTGGAAACAATTATTAAAGTTCTATGTTATGATTTAGCAAAAGAGTTGATAATAATTCATCGAGTATACACTTATCCGAAATAACACTATTTTTCAATTACCCACCTATAGCTTTATTTATGTAACAGTTTATTTCATTACTTTTTTCAGATAAAAATGCATTAGATAAAATACAAAACTACTTGGAAAAATAATGTTGAAACAAAATCGACTCACCGCAGTAGCAGTAAAGAACACTTTCCGTTAAGTAAAAACCACTTATTCAATAGGTATCTTTAGATTAGGTTTGTATCGTATTGTCTTTAACAGTCTGAAAACGATGAATCATCGCACTTAAAAAGAAAAAAATAATAAAGGTCTCATAATTTATACCTACCGATAAATGAATCGAATTTTATGTTAAACAATTAATAGTTATCCGACAAATAACAAAATAAATATAGCGATTATAGTTTTTTGCGAGTAATAATTATTACCTTTCGAATCGGTTATATTATTAAATAATGGAAACGATTCAATTATACTAGGTTAATTCTGACTTCTAAATTACTATATTATTTAAGATACTAAACTATTATATATAAATGACAAAAATAAATAATTTAAAAAGTTTTATAATAAACAAATAGGTAGTGTCGGATCCATGGGAAGGGGCATCGAGATCATTTGCCTTCAAACCAAACACTGTAATGGAGTAGTATGTTTTAGTTCATAAGATCTTTTAACTTACTATTTTTAATACTATATGTTTACTTTTTACCAACCCAAAATTGAGCTCTAGATCTGTCCTTGGTAATAGATTAACATAACGTATAATAACTTTAATAATCTCCAAATTATAGATAAATCCTGCAGACTTGTGACGACGTGATACATTCTCAACTGGGAAAATATTAACTCGACCACGGATATTTTGTAATAATTATAGTCTACACAACGTCACAATAATGCAATTTATATTATTTTATGGACATACCGTTCGGGGAATTCACCTGAGGCGATTTTTGGGTCATCATTGATGTAGAAATTTCAGTTCCTATAAAAAAATAATAATAAAAAAAACTCAGTTTTTATTCTTTAAAAAATGCAAATAATAATAAAAAATAAAATGAATAAATAAATCAAATCAAAACTTCTGTAAAAAAAAAAAAATTGACATACTTAAGTATGATTTATAATGAACCTCTTGTAAAATGTCCGTGTATTTCTATTTAGTCAAACAATTTTATTCACAGGGTACCTACCGAATACAAATTACGTAAAAAACTCGCAAAATTAAAATATCCATGAATAAGTCAAATGGCACAAATGTTCTGAAACTTTTACAACGTCTAGAAAAAGCAAATATAAGTTTTTAATCCTAATTTCATGTCTCTACAAATATGTTTAATTAAATTACAAAAAAAAAACAAAATTGAAAATAATAAAAGCACTATTTTCATGAATGTTCACCTTTTTTCTGGATCAACGACAATTGAGCGCAGACAACTGAGCGCGGAAAATTGAGCGAGGCGACATTTAAGTGCGGCGAAAACTGAACTCGATAATAAATTATTATTTATTTTTTTTTAAATATGCGTAGAAATATATTATAATAAAATGATACGATTATAATTTAATAATATGATACGATAATAACAAAAAGTGTTATAATGAGTCAAAATAATTTTTTTTATAAAATATAATTAGCAAATAGCGGTAAATGGTGGATAAATAAAAATAAAAAATACAGTTAAATATTTTGGACAATTGTTTTAGAAAAATTTTGGAGATCTTCGGTTCCCGTTACGATCAATTTGACCTATCTATGTGTCTTCAAAATAATCGATAAGAGGTTTTAATATTAATTCTTTATCTTTATAAAAATTCGTTTCTAATAGGTTTGTGAATGCATCAATAACAGGTCCTGCGGGAACATATGGTAATGCGTTCAGCTTTTTAATATTTAATGCAAACTCTGAATTTTCACGGTATTTTACTGCAACTCCAGTATCTTGAATATGTTTCCATACACATTGGCAAAAATGAAAAAAAACATCAAATTATTACATTACGGGAAAATACTTTTCTATTGCCTTAATGGCAACAGTTTCATAGTCAAGCATTAGAAGTGCGTAAACGAATAGTAAAACATTACTATATTTGACACGGTTGACCTTATAACATATAGTCATAGTCGCGTACTTATCTAGCGACGAGATAAGTATAAATAATATTATATAATATTAAAAATCCTAACAGATTTAACATTAAAAATCTAATTCAAAATGGATTTTATATTTAATTGTATAAAACATTATGGCGCTCAATTGTGGTCGCGCTTAATTTTCGTAGCGCTAAATTGTCACGGCGCTCAGTTGTCTTCGCTTGATTGCTGCGAGCTCTTTTCTGAGCTCAATTGTCAGGGCACAGTTCTTTCTACCTTTTTTTTAGGTATTGCATAGTTATTAATAAAACTACACAGAAAATCCAAAAATAAACTCACTAAATTAAACGCGCCAAAATATACACAATATATTAGTATACATAATACTGTAGTCATAGTATTTCTCTGAAATATGCATTTATGTATTCTCAAAATCCAAAAAAATGCATATATACATTATTTATTTTTGGATTTTTGGATTCGACAAAATTGTAAAATATGCAATTATATGTAAATAAAAATGGTATCATTTCGTTCAGTATACACTCGATACGTGAATCAAATTAGTATTTAGGTAAATATTAAATTAAACAGTTAGAAAAAAAATGTTTATCTTGTATGAAAAAAACTATAGTATTACAAAATCAATTAAAAAAAGACCATAATATTTACTAGGTAATACATTTCATATATTTTCTCATATTTTTCCTTGGTTTTCCAATTTATTATGTAATCAATTGGGAAAATGAACTCCCTAAACTACAACCTCAGTCTAATTTCCTTTCGAAAAAAGTACTACACTTAAAAATCAGAGCAAAATTTATGGTTGAAATTTAATACGCAATAAAAATAAAAAAAAAAAAAAATCATTGTAAAGCCAATACATTCATTAAACAATTTAAATAAAAATATTCACAAATATTTGAAACGAAATTTGTTCGTCTTTTTGATTTTAAAATATCAATATTTTTACGTATTTCCATAAAATATAAATTAATATTGATTCAAAACATTTTTATACGTCCATAAGAACAACAACGTATGGAAGGAGGAGGGTGAATGCATTATATCCCTCCTATGCGTTTCCTACGTACGCATATGGGGGGAGGAAGAAACGGCTCTCACGAAAAAATATAGATAGATTAATATTAGGGATATTGGGAACATCATATATATTTTCGCTCCCTCCACCCCTTATAAAAAAATTCCTGTACTTCTAAATAAGTTTTATAAAACACAATCAGTTGCATCATATAATACAGTAAAACCTGTAAAAAAGTATACATATGGTAGGTTAGGTTAGGTTAGATGGGATATTCTACACATTAGGTAACTATGTCTTTAATATAGTCTGATCGATTTAAAAACGGTATTGCGTGATATTAACTATTTTACACGTGACCAAAATAATCAATAATAATGTACCATGTCTATTTTCTATACACCTAAGTACGAGTATGACGTATGCAAATTACCTGCGACGGACGCAATTTTGAAACCTCTTAAATGCGTCCAACGTTGCCGTTAGATAAAATTATCAATACTCGATATCATGACATATACCCGAATTCTTCATAAACCCAAAATTCTAAATCCTAATTTTACATTTCGCAATTTGAGTTAATATTATTTTTTACGTACCTACAAATTTGTTTGTTTATTCTATGTTAATTAAAAATAAACATTATGTTATAGTATTTTTATTATGATTAGGTTTTGAATTATTTAACAAAATTGTACAATAGTATTTTGATTTCTATAAATAAATGATAATTTTATTACAAAACAAAACCAGTGCATTGTAAATGTCTTATACACCACCATGTTGTAGGGTTGTAAATTAGAAATTTGGAAGGTATACAGGGTAATTTAATGTATATTTCTGTAAGCTACGATAAATCTATTCTAACGAAAAACGTTTCTAAACAAAGTTCGATTAAACATGTTTGTAACTGAATTCCAATTAAAAACAAAATTTAAAATAACAGAAATCGTAATTGTATAAATTTCCACGGTTTTCCTATTGTTTTTTCTCAATTATTAAAAGAAACTTTGATAAATAAAATATGCTCTCTACAAGGCACTTGCTATATATAATTTTACATAAACCACCCCTAAAATTGATGATAAGATCAAGATTTCTGATATCAATCTATAGAATTATAGATTGATAAAATGTATAGAAAAAACCACTCATCCCTAGTAAAACGCTACGCTTAGAATCTAAAAATTATCTTATCTAGGGTATATAGGTATATTATAGTTGTACCTATTAAAGTTAAAATAAAGTGGTCATAAATTATTATGAGGTAAACGAGAAAACTTCTTTCCACAAAAAAAATAAATAAATAAATAATAATACGGTTCGGAGTTTTTAATTAGACCGACGGCGAAAGCCAACGCTTAGTTTGCTCAAACGACGTAGGTATATAAATAAACACATAAAATGAATACCTATTCGTTAATTAAAAAATACGAAACAAAATGGATTTTACGTGTACGATGATGAAAATTGAAAATAAAAATATTTGTTTTCTTTAAAATATACCGTATTCCGATAAAAATCAGAAACGTTATAATTTTATAGGCATTTAAGTAAAATATATTTGAATCCAGTGATATGTTCAGTTTGAGGGTAAGGGTTATATCCCACATCTACAGAAATAGGGTGAGCATATCCGGAGGTGTGGTTTTTAATTAAATATAATTTATATATTTTATTCGTTCAATAATGATAGTGATCCACCACCTGGAACTACCGTGAAAGAATACTTCAGGTGGCGAGGGTATTGACTATTAACGATGAAAACAAAATTTTAAAAAAAGACAAACATACTTCGCACGTGGGTGCAACTATTATTTTAGGTGGAAAGTTGAGAAGGTAGGATACAGACGGAAATTTAATGTATATCTATAAGCAATGATAAACAATTGAGAACGAAAAAACGTTTTCTGAGCGGAGTTCAATTGATAGTGTTGCTTTGTCAACAATATATATTATGTCATATTATGGTAAAATAATTATAACAATGTGCGTTTCCACGACAAAAATAATTTTTTAAAAATATTTAAAATAATAAATACTTAATAATAACAAAAAATAAATAAAAACCGTTGCCAACGATAACCTTATTTTGTAAAGGGAAGAAGCTTATGGTGTTATAAAGATGTTTATTTTTTTACATATAGCAACTTTTCTGAAAGTAAATCAGTGTAGGAAGATACCTTAAAGAGGTATCATTATTCGATATTCTCAAGAGTTTTCTCATCAAATGTGAAAAACCAAAAAAAAAAAACAGAAAAATTTACAAAATATAATATTACGATTTTTTATTCTGTAAAACTTTTCTACCAGCAATTTTGCTCCAGCTTTTAATGATAACAATATTTCTGAAAGAAAATTTCTCTGATGAGGTACTTTATAGAGGTCGTTTTTCCATTTTCCAGGAATTTTCTCAACAAATGTGAAAAATTGGGAAAAATCGGTACAACATTAAACAAATATTATTAAAGAAAATATATAGAGCCTATTTAATTATTTTACTATAATATGACATATATGTTGTTGGCAAAACATCACTATAAACTGAACTCCGCTCAGAATTGTTTTTTCGTAAGCAATGGCTTACTGGTATACATTAAATTGTCTATAATAGTGATTACATCCGTCCCCATTATTATCCAAAAGATCCGGAGGGGTTCAGGGTGAACCTCGGATGCATGACAACGCATCAGAGCGCGGTCCTAGCAACCGTTACCCAATTCATCTACCACCTGCTTACGGGTTCAGTCACCACCTAGCTATTTAACCACTACCCAAAGAAACTCGTAAATCCGTCCGAATCCAACCGCAAGGCACCGATCACGACATGAGACTACGGCTGACACCTGGGTCTCCGTTGGGCTCCGAAAATTGGTCAACGTCGAGGCTCCAGGGACCGCCCGAACTACTTTTCATAAATGTCAAAAGTTGGACTTATCTCGACACTCAGTCACTGACGAAACAGATGATCAGTTCGCACCGGAAGCAATCAGGAGTCTACCGACACACGGGCGATAACACAATATCCGTTGCCGGAGGTAAGTGGTTTACTCGAGAACATCCCATTCAGTGACCCAACGATCAGAACATGAGAAGACTCCCGATTGACCACGTGGAGAGGCGAGCCAAAAGTCTCCATCTCTCGCCGAATACAACCTCGGTGGGAAAGTACCGAAATTCGCCCGCCCAACGAGAAATGCACACGTCAGTTTTGCACCGCGATAAATCCACGGCGCTACTAATATCCACCGCCATGAAGAGGCCTATACCATCTAAGTAGACCGGAAGTAAAACAGTTCCCCGGACTCCCCATTAAACTACATTAACTAACCAAGAATTTAATACCAATTATTCCTTTTGACCGTGGTTCCAATAGATGTATAACAGTAGACAATAAAGACGTTTTATTCGTAAATTATGATTTGCTACATCCCCTTCTGGCTCCCATTGAATTATCCTAGACTCGCCACTGTGTGGGTGTATTTTTAATTTTGAATAAATATAATCAGAACATTATATTATTATTAAGTTTTGTCACGATTTGATTTTTTTAAAGTTATTTAAATTTTCGAAATTTTGCTGTTGAATATTAAAATATAATAATACTTCAAATAATGTTTCAAATACTTTACAAAAATAATTGCTCTTTGGTAATTATACCCGAAAAGGTAAACATACTTTTTTTCCTTTGAACCAATTATTGCGACATATTACGTACTATCAGAATATTCGAGTTCGTTAGTATAGTTTTTTTCCTACAATTTGTTAACGCATTTTGTTGGTTTAATATCTTTATATTATGATGTGTTTACATTAACGTATAATATAGAATAGTGAGTAACGATGCATAATTTGATCATTATTGTCGATGAAAAATGTTTTAGATACAATAACCAATGAGTATATTTTTGTCTCTGTTAAAAATAATATAAATTTATAAATAGAGTAGGTGTCTAATAAATCATCATAATATATACGATATATATAGAAAAGAATTATCCCTATCATAAAAAATTGTATTGTACAATAATTTTACGAGAAGATTAATTAATTTATTAAATTGTTATAATTTATTAATAATCGCCATATAATTGTGTAGCCAAATATCAGGGTAACTAAATATTTTAATATTAAAACCATATGTGTGAAAAAATAAAATAAATAACTGACTGAAACTAAACTGACTAAATAAATGACTGGTTTTTATAAACATCATATTAGGAATCCAGAAAAAAAATTCACATCTTTGAATATCAGCAATAATTTATCATTGCGAAATAGATACAACTTTGTGTATGCCACTTTCCCAACTTCCCACCAACAATAGTGGCCCACCCAACACCAATATCAGCTAAAATGTCTATACAATTTTGCTTCAAAAAAAGTAGAGAGCTTATTTGTAGCATTTTGCTTTTAATTGGTCAACTGGGGAATTCATTTTCCTTATAGTTTTCTAAATAACTAAGAATAGGCAAGAAAAAAAGGTTAAAGTTTACGGATATAATGATTTATTTGTTTTAGATTTTTTTTTTTTTGAAAATTAAATTGACCTTTCACAGAATATTAATATTATTCTTTTCTAGTTGTAGTAAAATATCGAACAATGCTGGCGATTTTCAAACTATTTATAGGTACGTATCTAACATGTTTGAAGTTTTTTTTATAGTCATTTGGTTTTATAGAGATCAAATTATTTTGGTCGAAAAAAAAATAAGTGAACATTTTACACTAAGTTGTACTTATAATGATCAAAAAAAAAAAAAAAAAATAATAGTCTAATAAAACTATCTAATAGTTTTTACATACGCGTTTAAAGTTCAAATTTGAATGGAAAATGTAAAAGTCACTTCATTTCACGTACTATTTTTTGATTTACATGAATATATTTTTTTTGGTCAAACAAAAATTTTAGAAAATTTAACACAAGGTTAGGTTAGGTTATCATAAGTTGTACTTGATGTTTATTTATTTTATTTTATATTGTTTATATGATACAGGCTTGTGACTAATTTTATACAAATTAATAATACGAATTGTCTTTAATAAACTAACCAATGTTAAAAAAAAGGTTGAGTGAAATGTAGTTTTTTTTCATTAGCGTTTTAATTTTGAATTTTAATGAAAACCGTAAAAAGCATTCCATTTCAAATATGGTTAACTGAAATTCGCTCAGGATCGTATTTAGTTAACAATGATTTACCATCACATACAGATATTAAGTAAATATATTTACGTACCCTATCTCCCCAAACTCCTACTTATAAAATTGACGAACCCATTAATAGTATCAGCTTTTATTATTTTTTATACTTATTAACTAAGTTTTAACACTAGGGGAACATTTCCTCAGCACGTCCATAGAGAAACAGTATTTTCTTGTATTTCAGAAGTTATACATAAAAATACATAATACTGTAAAATTTGGTATAAAAATTCAAAAATACCACTATACCAGTGCTGACGAAACGAAGCTGTTAAGACGTTGATCACAATTTTATATTTTTGCAGTTATTATGTATACATAATAATTATAGTGGAAACGAATGATCATGGTAATTTATATTATGTAAATCGATGACAAGTAAAAAAAAAAAAATCAGTTTTCTTACACGAAATGTTCTTACCCGACGTACGCGATGTTTATGAAAAAAAAAAACAACACATACTAATAGATTACTGTTGATATCCACTTAACGACTGATAACAAAAACCATGTTTCGATAGTTGTCAGCAAAAACATAAAAAATCACCAACATACGTCTCTTCCACTTTCGCCTTATTATTGTATACAGATAATACGTACCTATATATACGAGTAAAATTAATATGTTTTAATGTGACTTTGTATGATAATAATTTTGCCCGTTCGTGTTTTCTTTGATGTCTTTAGACGAACTTTTAAGACTCGTATACGACGAGTTATATATAATAATACAATTACAGACATTATGTTCAGATATCCAAATGCCATCATAAAATGTGGCATTATGTATGCAAGGACCTGGGCCTGTTCTAGGTTAGGCCAATTGGGACATTGGCCTCAGGCCCTGGGTGAATTTTAGCCACTTTTATGGCCTCGCGCTTACGACATTAAAACTAGTTCAAAAAAATAGTTATTCAAAAAGAAAAATATTTCGTTGACGTTAGAATACATTTATAAGACAGTTATAGTATTAATTATTGCATTTTGTACGCACGTATATTCTAGCTCAATAACATTTATAAAAGTAATAAAACTAAAAATAACTTTATGATCAACAATGGTAATAATAATATTAATCAATGCTAAAAGTGTTATGGCATCAAGCCATCAGATTATTTCGTTTTATTTTTATTTATTCGTTTATACCCGAGTCAAGATACTTTAACCCGTGGTTTATACACGAAATTAGAATACAATATGAACCGATGATACCGATCGCAATGGCATCATTATGTATAAATATTATCATTTCACTTTTGACTTTAAACGTCGACGGAACTACGAGAAGACCGCTGTTTTTGGGAAATTTAGAATATTATTATTAATACTAGTGATTTAATTTATTTTTATTTTATCATTATTGTACGTTAAAAAAATATTTTCTACATAATTAACATTATTATTTTGTGGTTTTGCACATCCTTGTATTTTTGTCATCAAAATGAGCCCAGCTACTTTTAATTAAACATTTTAATTATTTCCAATGGTTCAATATTGATTTTTAACGGTTTCGATCGTGTCATTTTTATTAAAAAAAATATGTATAAACAAGATAACTCCATACATTTTTAAAATGTTTAATAGTAATTAGTTATTAGGTATTCAATTTTAAAATGCCATTTAATAGTCAAATTTCATTTTATGAATTTAATTTCTTCAGTGGTTCTTTATGAATTTTTGATCAAATCACAAATTATGTAATAAAGGGTTGAACTCGGCCGGTCTATAAATCGATAATGAAGCTGGTTTCATAAATGAGTTATATTATTGTTCAGTCCGGGCCAGTTCAAAGAGCCAGTCCTACATTGATATAGTAGGTACCTACTTTTGCGCCACTGCTGTTATTTTTTAATTATCTCTACTGGTGTTATTGTAGGATCGGCGATAGTATTGAAATATTTATTGTAATACTGGTATGACTTATATGGCCATATTATTATATTCGTAGAATTGTAAATCGGAGCAAAATTGCTGGTAGAAAAGTAGTCTTTCCGTTATTTCCTATTTATTGAGAAATTTTCGTAAATTTCCTGTTTTTCTTACATTTTATTTCAGGTTTTCACAGATTTTATGAAAACAGCATTTAAACTTAATAAATTACCTCCCTAAAGTACCATTAAATGTAATAAATATAATAAAATACTAAAAAGAATATTGAAAGTACGATTTTAGACTAAACGAAAAATGTTACTATAATGTTTGCTTTTTTCTGCCAGTCAACAAGTTTTTGCCCAAAAATCTTGCTTCAATCATCAACTTTAACTTCTGGTAAAAAGTTTTGCCTCATTAGTTCATTAGACGTATATTATTTTTCAATTTTTTTCATTTTCTTAATAATGGACCAGGAAAACAAAATGAAAACGACGAAAAATGTATACAAATTACTAAATCGTGTGTACTATATTTTCAATTTGTGTGAATAAAACACTTTTGGCACTGTGAAAATTCTAAACAATTTGATTCATAGTTCATCATAAGTTGTACTTCAAGGTTAAATAAATATAGCGGTGTCCCATTCAATCATTTCTCATCATTCCGTTATAAATTAGGAGATTGATAATACTTAATGATAACCACCTAATTTGTGGGTTATATTTGTAATTACTAATTACTAATTTGTATGATATTTGAAATAATTTCACTGTATTCGTACATGTCATAAAATTCGTGAAAAATCACTTAGTCACCAAACATTTGTAATATAGCTTCTTTTTTTTTTAAAATACTTTCATCGGATTTTGGCAGTGTTATTGACTATGGTCTGAATTGTTAAAAATTCAGTAATATAGCAGAATAATATATTCTAAAATATATGAATCAACCACGATAGTGGAGTTTAAAGATTTTTCGTTGTCGCGGTCGTTAGGCTTAGGTTCACACTGCAGACTGGCAATAAATCTCTGGAAACGTCGCCGTTTAATATTCGAATGTATGTTATACGGACGCCGAAAAAAAAAATTATGTCTCGCGAAAACGCGGTTATTATAGCGTATTTTCCGAGTGAATTCTAATATAAAAATGGAGATCGTAATCTCCCTCGAAATATATCGTGTAGTAGTATTTATATTTTTTTTTCGTTTTATCATATAAAATATTCTTATTATGCCGCTGCCGGTACGATAGGCGGTTACTTTTATATACGTCACTACAGGGGCGGATCGGTCCTTATAGAGATGAAGAAACTACGGGTAGGAAGAGAACCGTCTCGATGAACCAACAATGTTATATTGTTTTATTTTACCCGAAATTAGAATTATAATAATTCATAAGACGTAACAATATTGGCATAATAAAATAGCGTGTAAATGACGTTAAATCGATAAGTCCAGCTCGGTATTTGTGAATAAATTAATAATAATACACACTAGTAAATTGCCAGATGGAGAGTACGGATTTTGAGACGCCATTACCGAAAAACTAAAAGTAAAATATTTAAAATAAGGCTCTGGAAATCTCTTTAAGTATAGTACTAGCTATATACGACGTCAAAGTGAAACATTTCGATTTCGATTTTTATTTGATCTTTAGTAATGAAACAATGTCGGTATACTAAAATTCGAATTGAAAATAATAAAAAGAGCTGATACTAGAGATGGAAGCACCCAGTGTTGTAGGTGAGAAGTTGGGAAGTAGGATACATAAGGTTATTTCATTTATATCTGTAAGAAACGATAAACCATTGCTTGACAAAAGACGATTCTGAGCGCAGTTCTGTAATACATAATTTGAAGTGCCGTAATTTTTTATTTATTTTTTTTTGAGATTTTCGTTTGAATTTAATTTCAAAACTTTTATTAAAAAAAAAAGTCGTCCGATCATTTTGAAAATTTTACCATGTCTAGGTTACCAAGTCCAACATAAGTATTATTACCAAGTTTCAAGTTTCTGCGTTTATTTATAACCGAATTACAGCAAAGAAACTCCCAAAAATTAAAATTCCTTAAAAGCTCAAAAGTGGCTCAAAAGTTTTGGCCACGATACCGTTAGAAAGTAAATTATAAAGGCAACAAAAAAATTATCTTGTGATTTTTCACAAATTGGTGTGCCCACTATTATAAAGGCACACCACAATAGCCTGGTCTGTATAGTTTCATCGTGTGTGTAATTCTGAAATACCAATCATATATTATTCATCTTTTTGTTTTGTTTATTTCTGGGTTACTTTTTTGACATAAAAGAAAATAAACGTAAATAGTGTTCATTATATATGTAAAAGTAGGATCTATGCCCTAAATGTATTTGTGGTATCTATTTATGCTTCATATGGTTTTTGATATTAAGAAAACATCTTTAGGTAAAAGTTATATCTACGTATAAATGTATCAAAAGAAATATCTTTATTTCCATTAAATTTTTTTGGTTATACATTAATGTTTTTTTTTTCTGTGGATAATTTTTCTACCAGCAATTTTGTTTCAATTTACAATGATAGCACTTTTTCTAAAAGGAAATCTGACTGGGGTGGTACTTTAGAGAAGTAATTTTTTAAATTCCCCAGAAGTTTTTCTAATAAATGGGAAAAACCGGGAAAAAACATAGGAAAACAGGAAAACAGGTACAAATATTATTAAAGAAAATGTATAATGCATATGTAATTATTTTACCATAATATGACATATACATATGTTCACAAATCAACACTATTAACCGAACTCCCCTCAGAATCGTTTTATATAGATATAAGTATTTATTGAACATGAAATTTCCCCTCTATCTTCCCAACTTTTCACCTACAAAAGTGGCCCACCCACGTGCAGAATATGTCCGTCTTTTTTTACTTATATCTATCGTTACAAAACTGTACATGAGCGAAGCCGGTTAATACAGCTAATATTTATAGAAGGATGAAAAAAAAATGCTTTATTTGTTCGTATGTATTACATATATATTAGATGTAGTGCATTCTACACTAGGGACAAAATCGGAAATGTAATTCAGAGAAAAGAATGACAAAAAAAACCTAGATATTTTATTTGGGAATTCACCATCTGTACATCCATAGACTGACATAGGTACCTATACTTTTTTTTTTACAAACACGCCAATATTGCCACATATATTCGGGGAATTTGGGCGTTTTGTTCGTATTTTCTTTTTCCCCGCATTTCCATTTCGAACGTCATGAATTCAAATAAAGAAAAACTCAAATCACATTATTCACTATCGGTATTTAAATCAAAAATTCCGATGGTAAAATATAAACTTAATTTTGGTATTTCACAACACATTGTGTGAAGCAAAATTATATGAGCGATGAGTAATTAAATCGAAGAAGTAATGATTAATAACATAACTGCAAAATAAACAACTTTCAGGAAAACGCATGACGAATAAAGACATATTTTGATATTTCAATATTCCATATATGAATTAAAAACATTTGGACAAAAAGTGTAAAATAAATAGCTTTTTACGGGATTATTTACAAAATTCAATAATTGGATAAATATAATATAATGATATTAACATTAACTGTTAAAACGAGATTCGGAATTTATGGAAAACTTTGGTTTTAGCACGCGAAATAAGGTATGTTACGAAATACATATTTTCTGTCACTATACATAAAAACTACATAACCGTAAGCACGAACCATAATATCCTAAAATTTTTGAGTGTAATTGTTTTTTAATTATTACAAAAGCTAAATATTTTGTAAAATTGTCCATGAAAATAGCGACTATTTGATTGTACTGTGTCTGTTAAATCTCTAGAATCTGGACGACCAAATGGGCTCAAATTCTGGAATTATAATCGTTTTTAAGCAAAATGAATTGTTATAATTTGAGTTGGATTTCAATATCAATTTCACCAAATCGTTGTGGAAGGAGATAATTTTTTTTACTTCTGAACATTTCTTTAGGCCGCTCAGATGAAGCCGGATGGACAAATTTCGTAAATACATAATGAAAGACGTCCGTATTAAGGATGTGCCTTTTTTGGAATTTCAATCTTAACCCCTACCTTTTTTTTTTAGTTTAATTTCACTATTTTGTTAGAAGTAGTGTGCTTGTATTATAATATAGGTATTTTATTATCACAGGATTCGGTTAATTACTGTTATATAAAGGATATTTATATAATACAAAAAAAATATGGAGGTGGAAAATTTAACTTTAGTGATGGAGATCTATTGCTTACGGGAGTTTTTTTTTTTTTTAACAATATAATATAATCAATAATACTTTTATATTTTATTTAATATTGTTATATGAATATTCATATTTATTTTTCTAATATTAAAAAATATGTATTTACTTTTCAGATAAAACCGTATAGAGTATAAAAGTTGATTTATATATTATATATATATAGCCTTGTGATTTTTCAAATAGAGCAAACAATTTATAAGGATTACACAGACGAAGTATAAAGACGTCCGCGATATCGCTAAACTATACGCATTATTTAAGATTATTTTTTTGATATGTCTCACAACTGCAAAAGACAAATGTTCCTGGATAAAGAATTCCTTCGTGATTTGAATTAATCAATAACAAGAGAAGATTTGTTTTTATCTCAGCATTATAATGTTATTTTCAAGCCAATTTAATATACATTTTCTATTTTCACGATTGACAACATAATAATAGTATTATTATTATTATTATTATTATTATATCTATAAGATATCACCAGCATATTATTTTCGCATTTAAAATAGCCAATCAAACGTGTATTATAATGCAAAAACAAATCTTAATATCGAAAATAAAAACCGAGAATAAAAGAACTAATACAGTTGATTTATGTTTTGATGGCAGGTTTTTTTTTGGCTTACTTATAATAAACATCTAGTTAAATTTTTAAACATTTCTATTTAGTCAAACGATTTTATTTACATGCGAGTATAGTACCTATCAAATATAAGTTTAAAAAATGCCTATAGATCGTTTTGAACATTTTACTATATCTACAAAAGGCCAATATTAGTATTTTGAGAAAACTTTAGGTTTCTTCATTAATTTTTACCTAATGACAACATAACAACAAAAATCTCAAATGCCGTACTTTGCCATATTTCCTACGTTCCTTCATAACTATAAGAAAAATTAAACGGAAAATCAAACGACAAATTTCTTACTCAAAATATGTCTTTCTAGAAATTTGGACAAAGATTTCTAGTAGAAAAATGTAACTTTAAAGCTTTAAAATAATGAAATCGTTGCGCCGTAATTTGAAACAATCCTAGTTTTCATCTTTTTTGGTTTTTCCCAATTTTTATGAAAACTACTTTGGATATCAAAAAAAAACTTTCTTTAACAATGATTTTACATTAGAAGGAACAAAATCGATTTCTGCCATTTTTAGATTGGAGCAATAATTTAGGTAAAAAACTAAGTTGAAAAAATTTAAAACAATACAAATGATAATGTGGCACGTCGTACATATTTCCCGTTTTACCAATCTATAATTTTCTTTCCAGTATTTCCCAACTATTTTGAAAATAGCTTGAAAAATAATTAGATCCTCAATGCACCAACTAGAGTGAATTACCTTTTTGAAAATTTTCTACACTTGATATTCGGAGGAAGATTTTGGTACAAATGTTGCTCATAGGCAGTCAAAAAAAAAAAAAATAAAAACTACATATCATAGTATAACCAATAGATCCCTTGCTACGCTCCAACTCTAAAACCTATAAATTCGATGCGAGAGCGAACAATTCTTGTCAATTGTCGTGGTTATCTGAATTGCTAGAATTTAAAGACTAAAAAGGGTTTTTTAAAATGTAAATTGAAAACTGTATATTTATTACTTTTTTGATTTACAATATATAATTTAAAAATTGTTTTTAGTTTTTATATTTAATCAAAAAAAAACTCGCTTATTAACAGTAGAATGTCATATCAGAATCGAATTTCCTCCAGTTGACTTATTTTCGTTTAAATATTTCATCTTTTTTTAATTTTATATAAATGGTAAGAAATTTAACAAAACAATTTTATAAAAATAGGTATAGTAGTATTTTGAGATTTTTACAAACAGGCCGTGTGGATTAGAGGATTTGAAATTACTCGAAAAGAGCCAAAATATTTTAGAAACGTTACCACGTCTAGGTAATTATAACAAAAAAACTCTGAGGAAATGTCTAATCTAAAATCAATGTATCATTTCGACCCAATATCCCACAAGAAAGAAATAGTATTAGACTGGTGATAAACTTTTGGTCAGAACATTTTTCTTAGATCTATACGCGCTTCGCTCTTCTTGGAATTTAAAAATTGTCTTCATTAACTTGCAACCTTGCTGATTATGGCAATATTATTAATTATTAACAATAAATGACATAATTAAATTTGTTTAACGTATTTTTTTCACTACACTATACATACTAATTTATATTAAACAAATACAAAAACCACATAAACTGTTTTTAACAACAAGCGTAATTGAATAAACAGATAGTTTGGAACAATTAAATAATGCCAAATGAAACTTGCTCGTTATTGCGTCATCCAACGGTTCGATATTTTACGTACGTACGGGACAGTGAATGTATACAGGTACGAATAACGTTTTTTTTAAATACGAGACCACGATACCGATTATTCTCTGCGGAAAATGGTATAGGGGGTTTTTCTCGCTTACATTTCTTCCTGTGTTCGTGTGTATAAGCAATGTGAGAAGCAAAGTATTCTTTCATTTGTTTTGAGTCATTGGTTAACCCATTACTCTATTTCTCAATAACCGACGCTATGCCGTACACTGTGGCGTACAGTGATAACATGGTCAAACGTAACACTACCCCAGCAGTTAAAAATAAAAATCTATATAAAATTATATACATTTTATGATACAATATAACCTATTGGGCGAAATATTTAATCATTGAAGAAATTACGGAATAATGTGTAACGCCAATTATGTTGACTGCAAAATTATGTCATTATTTACGAAATGATATGTCCTCGAGTCATAGATAATTCACTAAACGTGCTCACCCTATTTTAGATTCCAAGCGTAACGAGGGAGCTATTGGTTTTACTAAGATGTTTATTTCTTTTTCTTTTTTTTTGTTCTAGTCTGTGGACACGTTTTTTCTTAGTTAAACTTACTCCGATTTTTACGTGTAGCAATTTTTCTGAAAACTCAAGTTATAATTCGGTTATAAATACACGTAGAGACTTAAAAGTTGATAATAATACTTATATTTAACTTACCTAGACGTGGTAAAATTTTCAAAACCATCGGACAACTTTTTTCCCTTTTTTTAGTAAGCGTTTTAAAAGAAAATTTAAACGAAAATCTCAAAAAAAAAACTTACAGCACTTCAAATTATGTATTACCGAGCTGTGCTAGGCACCGTCTTCCGTCAAGCAATAATTTATCGTTGCTTACAGATATAAATGAAATAACCTTATGTATCCTATCTTCTCAATTTCTCACCTAAAACAGTGGGCGCTCTCATCCTCAGTATCAGCTTTTATTTTTGTTTAAATTCTGCATAATTCAAATTCTGATTTTTAAAATGTTTAAGTATAATTAAAGCCGATATTTTCGAATATTTGAATGTTTCACAATATTTAAGACAACAATTTTAACACCAAAAGGATTTACAATATTACTCCATTTATTTTATGGAATTTTTAATATAGGTCCTCATTTGAAAAACCATAGTTGGTATCACCACAAAATACTAGTAGTATTTGAAAACATCGGATTTAACTACACTTGAAAATTCTAAAAATTTGAATTTGAATACATGCAAAATTTAACCGAAAAAATGGGGTGAGCCACTTAGTGAAATAAATCGGTTTTAAATTAAAAATAAAAAACCTAATGAATTGAAAAATGCCTAGTTAATGCTATTACGAGTTGAATTTTGGACTTGATGCTAAGACCACCTTTCCCCCTCTGTCTTTATTATTTCCAGTGATGACGTATGAGCCATTTAAAACGTTGAATGGTCGAGTGGGTAGAATATTTCATTGAAATCAGGCAGCGATCAAAGAAAACGCCGTCATCCTAATCAAGTTTACTGATCGTTCGTAGTAGCAATATTATTGTATTTTTATTTATTTATTTTTTATGTTTTACAATGTCGCCGTGGCTGTCGTATAGTATAAAATTTATAAATTATTATTGTCGATATTAACATAAAACTTCACCCGATTTTGTACCCGTCATGTTCGTTATGCTCCATCAAATATACACGCATCGACAAACAAGTGCGGGGTATAAGTGACATTTTATTGATTTCGAGAAATTCAATTTTAAAATTATTTGTATTTAATGTAATTATTATAGTTTATTATCATTGTTCTTGTATTTCGATGATAAAATTTTTTAAACATTTGGCAATAAAGAGACGTAGATGTATTAACAGCTATTCTGGACGCTTGTATCTATTTACTTCTAATCTATTATGGCATTATCATTTAAAGACTATTTTAATGCGATTTATTATCAAATACTAGATTGCAGCGCGTGGCGAACAATTCACTTATATTCAACTTATATTTCTTTACCACAAATAAAATGGAAAATTTGTAATTCAGCTATGCACTTAACTCAGATTTTTTTAAAAATGTCACTTATGCCACTTGTGTTCTAGGCACCTCTAATACAATTTATGCATCACATAAATAGTATTAAAATTAATTCACTACCATATATTAAAGCCCTGGGTAATATTTGTTTTAAATTTTCAGTTACGTGCTATAATATACTATTAAAAAATCTTTACGAGTGTAAAGCTTTGTCTCTCGACACTCGTCAAGCGTCATTCGTTCGAATTCAAATATAGGATCATTTAAGCTATTATACTTGTATTATACTTTAGGTTTATATATCCCATGATACAGAGCACTCAATGATGACTATGTACTAAATTCAATATCGATTTTACATAATGGGTTCAAAACCTTTTTTAAAATGTATTACATTTAAATATAATTATTGACCAGAATTATCAAATTATATAATATCTAATTTTATCTGTACCATTTGGCCTTTGTCCATTTTATTCATTATATATTCATTATATTCATTGAATAAATTATTATTATTATTATTATTATTATTATTGTATACAAACTCACCCGACTTTGAGATGAACACGACCGTGACGCACAATGCGAACGTCATGAAGAGCAATAACAAATGACGGGACCTGGGCTGTTGCAACGTCCACCCCATCGAAGGAGGAGCACTTGAATCACGAAAAGGCCAAAAAAAATAACACACACTACGGACACGGAGCGTGTAGACTGACTTTCGAATGTGACACGAACGTGTATTTAGAGCCGTTTTCGTTGTTTATATCATATGTATTGTATTCGATCCTCGTCCCAGGTCTCGAATGCGGTCTGGTGACTGTTACGACGAACAGTGCGTTTTTGAAAAACCGCGATTTTTCATTTTTTTATTCTTCTCCAGTTCTTTTGCCATTTACTTACACAATTTTACACCACGCTGTAATGAAAACCGCTCGTAGTTATGCTTCGTTTAGGCCCCGCGATATTTGTTGGATACGACTGTGAGTGTGTGTGTGGTGTAGTACTTCTGTAAAAAATATGATACGTAAACACGTTTTAGGCAAATCTATTGAAATCACAATATCTACTATAGATAAATGTAATTGGTGTTGTTGATTGATCAGATATAAATAAAAAACTATATTAATATATTAGGAGGTTTTATTATGCATTATAGTACAATCTCCGTGAAAATAGATTATTTTTACGGATAATTAATGAACAGAAAAAAAAATGACATTGTAATAAATATTGCGAACTGTAAGCAGTCGATTGCATGGAGTAGATGAGGATTTTTAAAGTCCCGGTTAAGTGCATGATAAAATGCCAATAAATATAAAAATCATATTTTTGACTCGTTTTTTATTTATGACAAGTATTCTACTTTGCCTATAATAGCATAATACAAATCTAAGCAAAATAAATTTAAGATTCGGCAAGTTCGAATTTACATAATAATTGAGATTGGTAATATTGTAACAGTTACAAGGTAATAATAATATTATCAAGAAAATAGTATTCGATTTCGTAATTTTATCGACTGTGCATAGATTTTATATATGGTACCACGGATTTGTTTATAATTTCCAGTAAAGTTTACGGGAGTTTGCGTTTTCTGAGCAAAAAGAAAAAAAAGAGCTGATAATGAGGACGTGTGCAGATTCGGTTGTAAGTGGGTAGTTTAGAAGGTGGGATGCATAAAGTTATTTAATTTATACCTATAGCCAACAATAAACCATTGTTGACGATTTCATCAAGATTTGATTTTGAAACTCTTATAAAAAAAAATATAATATATTACATATAACAATCATTTTTTTTTCTCATTAAGTACGACTTAAAATGTACCTCCTGTAAAATTGTCAAGGTTTTCTATTTAGTCCAACAATTCTATCTACAGAGTACCTACTAAGTACAAATTACGTAAAAAAAACTCGCAAAATTAAAATGCCTATAAGTTGCTCAGATATTTTGAAAATTTTACCATGTCTAGAAAAAGCAAATATAAGTTTTTATCAAAAATTCAAGTAAATACAAATATTTTCAACTGAATTAAATTTTTGTAATTAGTTGGACGAGATTCTTTCTTAGTTAGTTTTGTGATATTATATAGTTATTTTGACTAGTTATCTTTGGTAGAAAAAATTTAAAAAAAAAAAACACAAAAAAACGGGACGAACAAGCAGCGGCAACAATGAGTATCGAATTAGGGACCCAAGCTATCCTAATCTAACGCTTAACCTACCTAGCAACTACACTTGTTGGAAATTGATGTCGTTTTGCCGGTATATAAGTTGCGTTTTCATTTCAATATCCTTTATTAACCTTTATGGCCAATGGTATCGTTATAAATATTCAATATCGATAATGTTTTAGAATAATAAGATATATCACAAAGTCAAATTGTCGTATATAATATGATAATATTTTTTTTTTTTTTTTTTAACAATTAATATAATTTATACAGTAAAACATATAGGTACATTTTTAATTTAAAAATATTACATGATTTACAAATATCAGAGTTATTTAATGAAAGATTAGAAAAAATTTCTTGTATATCTGATAAGATATTTAAAACTTTTCCAACACTAGACAAAATTGAAAAATCAAAATTAGTTTTATGATAAAATTGATATAAAATATTAAGTTGACTTTTTTAAAACCAAGGTAAAATAAATATATTTTTTGCTTGAAATTTCAACTTCTGCTTTTTTTTATTCTTTGTGCTTTGCTTCAAACCATATGAACCAAATATTAATTAATGGACCAACTTTTTACATAACTATAGGATAGTGGATGAAGTGATGATATTTTGGTTAGTTTTAAGAATAAATAATTGTGTTCTGATATTATTATTTTTAGCAAAGTAGGGCATTCAAATCCAGTGCAATTACATGTAACTATATATAATATTTTTTTAAGTAAAATATACAAATTCCAATATTCTGGCTCTGCATCTATTAAATCACCAATTAATTATCCAAAGTAACGAACAAAACACCACATCTCACTGACAGACATTTTTAAGTTTTTCGAATCACTATTCAATGTATTTTCTGACATTATGGGAGGTCTATTTCTGATATTAGTGAGATCATAGATGAAAAATGTTATTAATTGATTCAAAGTTTCTAAATTAAAATATTCATTACAAAAATAACATATTGTTTTTGAACATCGGTAAACCTACAGCGGTAATTTAAAACAAAACTTTGAGAAAATCCCATGATATCATGTAAGCCTAAATTTTTCCCAAGAATTAAAACTAAACAGAAATACAACTTAATTGACTCTTTATTAATAAATATTTCTATGCCACTTTCAGAATGTTTTTTCTCAGAAATTAAATTTTTAAATAGTTCAGTATTTCCAACTTATTTTTCATCTACTGAATCTAATAAATTTGTTCTCTTCGTGATTCACTTTGAATATAAATTGATATAATATGAGTGTCTTTAAGAAATTATTTTGTGTATATTATCATAGTATTATAAACATTAGGTAATTCAAAAAATCGTTATAATAAAATAGGTAAACTATATAAATTGATTGGAATATGTTCAACAATTACATATCCATTTTGAATATAATCATTCATTCGATTTCCAGTGTGAATAGTTTTAGGCCTGATGAATATGTCTATATCATCCATTACTGTAAAACTATACTCAGTTTTGAACTTTTTAAATGGATTACAAATTACATCTATATATTACCTACCTACATGGGAATTGTGTTACATAATTTATTTGTATTTTCTGAACACTTCAATATAAAATATGTTTAAGTTGGTTTCGTATAATCGTTCATTAAGTTAACTAACTTAATCTGAGCATATAATCTATACTCACCTTTAAATGTATTCATAACATGTTCCGGCATCTCCGACTGTTTCAATAGTCCTATCGTCCATTTCAAATATCTAGTAAAATCAGTTACAACTAATAGGTAAAATTGAAATTCGGAAAAGTTTCAGAAAAGAACAAGTTTACTAGGAAAAATAAGTCCACAGACTAAAAAAAAAATAAAGAAAGAAAAAACAAACATCTTGTAAAATCTAAAGCTCCCAAGCTACGCTCGGAATCTAAAATAATTATACTTATAAGCAGCTTTATATTAAGTTAACTCAGATAAAATATTAACGATTAAGTGATTTGATGTATGTAACTTATCTCTTTGGTAATGACAATAATTATCTACATATCTGGATTAGCTAACACAAATGAATAATGACTAATTATTAACCATAAAAAAAATATTTTTTTTCCGTGTAAGAAGTTGATAAGGTATGATGTAGAGGAAAATTGTTGTATATCTATATGCAATGATTAATCTTTGCTAATGAAAAATGATTCTGAACGAAGTTCGATTATAAATATTTGAAAAGGCCGTTATATTAACGATTTTCATCAAAATTTGATAATTCAAATTTTTATAAAAAATCGAATCAACGTTTTTTTTGGTTGACTACTAAGTAGAACGAGTAATGAAGCTCCAGTTCAATTTTCAAACATGTTTAGTCTAACAATTTTATCCACAGAGTATCTATCGAATAAAAATCTCGTAAAAAAACTCACAAAATTTAAAAAATTGGATTACGTTTAGAAAAAACAAGTATAAATTTTTAATTATGATTTCATGTCTCTATAAAAGTAGTACGAAGTAAAACAATAAAAGCATTATTTTCGTAAATCTTCCAGTTTTTTCTACCTTTTGTTTACAATTAATATGAAAGCTGCTTAGAAAATCACAAAATTGACAAAAAAAAAAATATCAACTATATAAAATTCCCTTTCAGAAAAGATGTTACACTTGTTATATTTGCATAAGATTTCTGGTAAAAAATTTTTTGTACACTATAAAAAATAAAAAAATAAATATCATTGTAAACCAATACATTCCTCGCTCAGCTCAGAATCTAAAATATAATGCTGGTATATAGGTGTAATACGCTAAAATATATCCATACTTAGTATCGTATGGAGGAATTTCGATATAAGGGGATGTAGGTAGTACTCGTTTATAATAAAATAATGAATAAATTGCATATTCTTCTTGCATGCTTAACCTGTGAATGGGAATTTAAAAACCAAATCTAACAAAGCCAATTATTATTTAATAAATCAAGCTCCCTTGTTACTTGGTTCCAATACATAATTTTCAGATTAAATTACTAAATAAATACGAATAGCTATTGTATTCTAAAAGCCATTAGGGGTGGGGGGGGGCGATATCAAAACAAGAACTAGGGAAGGTAATTTATCGTCGGGCTTGAAATATTCAAGAGTATATTCGCGTATTTTTATTATGTATGTATTTACTAATAAATACCTACTTCTTTAATTTATTATTTCAATATTTTTTAGAAATCTAAAAACGAAATAGTGCGTTTTGTATTTTATAACCAATATAGAATCTGACGTGGGTGAGGCTGGTGGAGGTAACACCGTCTAGTATCCTTTTGTGTGTGTAGAAATTCTTAGTTTCGGCACTACGGCGATATAACCCTTAACCTCCTCCCACTGCGCACAACAGTGCCCAAGCTGTTTTATAAAAAGCTCTTTCTTTATATTTCTAATCCGTTTATCTTTTTCATATTACACATTTGCTAAACGGTTATACATAAAACGTTACGATTTTTCAAAGAATAGTAGTATATATAACATAAGCTATATGGAAAATTAGTCTTTTTGCAAAAAGACTAGGCTCTTTTCGATGGGATAGCCTGTTTGCGAACAACTTATTTTTCCAAACAGTCTTTCTTTCAGGCGTATTGAAGACTAACAAATAACAATCAGGCATTTTAAATAATACAGTCACCTACTATATAGTAATCTCATTGTAATTTATTACTTGTACAAAAAATAGAACAAAAAAATTATAATATGTAAACTGTATACATTTACATTTTACATATTAGACCTATTATTTAGTGAAGTTATATATTATTGTACAGTTTTTTAATATTGTAATACTGCATTTTATTTATTTATTTTTAAATCATATAACTATAATGTCACTAAATATATAGTGAAAAGTTACAATCTAATCTACGAATTAGTTTTAACGCATTATATGTCGTCAATCCGTATCTAAATCCTTCAAATAGCTGGGTTTAAAGTAGTTGAATATAAATTAATTTAATATAAACTTCTCAAAGTAAATATAATAATTACTTAAACAGTTTGCATATTATAATTCGTTTGGTTTTCTTTTTTGTTTTTGTTTTTTGTACAAGTAAAAAAATTATAATACAATTACTAGATATATAATAATTTTAGTTCTTAAAAAGTTCAACTGCTGTTAGTCTGTCTGCAATAAGTCCGAAAAACAACCGGTCGTTTAGAGAAATAATAAGTAATTCGCAAACAAGTTTTTCCATCACAAAGAGCCTAGTCTTTTGGCAAAAATACTAATTTTCCACATATCCTACGACACATACATAGTTTTAAATATTTTGGACTTTTGACATTGATCATGCATTATTGTTTGTTGAGTCCGCCTGCCTTTATCTAAATAATTTACACGGCGCTTTGGACACGCTGGTTTGCTCTTTCATTGATTTATAATGTATTTATAATCTGATTACCTTTTTAAAACAACGGTCGGATCAAACGTTACGATTTTAAATTAAAACTGCACTAACTGCAGTACTATAATGTATTGGTTTGGGCCATTTATCTAACACTATTTTACAGTATAAAGGTATTGCGTCAGATATATTTTAAAATTTGATAAATCCGTTTTTGCTTGTATCAGTCGAACTATCGTGACCCGTGTTATCGACGGACGAATGCGATTGAAAATCGGGTCTACGGTATAATATTATATCGAACCATTCGTCAATGTTTACCGGCACGTGTATCAGACCGACTGTCAGCGTCGTCGTCGTCGTCGTCGTCGTCGTCGTCGTCGTCGCCGTAGTCGTCCGCGCCGGTGGAAGTTTACGGACCGACTACAGACTAGGTCGGGTTACCGGTTTTTTTTTTTTTTTTACCCCCGTCCTCAACGAACCGCCGGAACTTCTCGGGCGGTGATGGCCGCGGCGTACCCGCGCGAATTCTCGGTCGTGGTCGCGCCTATAGGTATAGAGCCGTGCGACGGCATATACGCACGCCACGGATTTATACGCGGAACGGACGACGGGACGGACGCAAGCGGTCCGCGCGTCTCGCGGGTAATATAATGTACGGGGCCGCGCGTCGAACGGATCGGACAACAGTCCGCGGGCGACCGACCGACGAACGTTGGTTAGCGCCGTGTGGCCGACTGAAACTGAGGACCAATACGCTCTTGGCGTGCACCCGTTACTGCCGCCGGTGGCGACGGCGCGGCGGTGACGGCGACAGCGACGGCGTCGTCGTCGTCGTCGTCGTCGTAGTCGACGCCACCGCGCCACTTACGTTCCCGAACGCGGCATACGCGTATGTGTAACTGCACTCGACAGTGTTTTGCTAAAACAACATTAAAATCGTCTGTATACGATAATAGGTAATGCGTTTTTAACCTACCCAGATAAAAAATTGTATGCACAAATGTCATCTGTAGATAAACGACAAGATAACTTCGTTTAGATAAAAACCGGATATTTTTCTTATAGTCCGTAGGCCTTAACGAATGACAAAATGTAAAACCCGCGAAACGGTAAAGCACAGCGGCGGAGTGGTTGATCTGCAAATGGGAATTTCCCGGATGGCTTGGATCGTATTATAACTAGGTGAACTGATATTTGTGTACATACTATTGTATGCTTGCTCCGTACTCGTATTATTGAAAAAAATTCGTAAATAATTACACCAAAATTACACGATATTTTTATTTCAGTATTAAGGGTGTTTTGTATACATTTTCGTTTTACATATTGCATTAAAATGTATAATGACGAAATCAATTTTCCAAATTTGTTGGAGATCAAAACTCTCCCCCCCCCTTCTTACCTTCGCCCATTTCATAAGTAAAAACGTCTTTAGCTCCCGTCAATTTAAAATCTTAAATTCTCCACCGGTTCAAATTAAAACGCGAGACAAATTTTGTTTATTAGGTGGTCTGGATAAATTTATAATAAATTCCCGATGTAAATTTAGCTTTAGTTCTAGATTTAGCACTATGCTCTTTGTAAAATATTATTTTCTTTAGGTATCATCTATTTAGTAACGAATAACGAACGTTTAATAAAACTTCAAACATCGAAAACCTAACCTTTGGTTTGTAAATTCACGTATACAATAAAGTTATCATTATACTAGATGATACTTGTTGTAAAATAATAATAAATAATACAATAATTGCATAATAGGTAGTTAAGAGTTAGGACAATAATAAATGATATTAAATATCGAATAATAATACTGAAGAGACGTCCTAGGATAATGGATATGGATACAGCCACTGTTATAGGTAATTTAATGTATATCTATAAGCGACGATAAACAATTGCTAACAAAAAAACGATTCTGAGCGCAGAACTGTTGATAGTGATGCTTTGTCAATAATATAATGTCATATTATGGCAAATAATTAAATAAGCATTAAATATTGTCTTTAATAATATTTGTTAAATATTGTACCAATTTTCCAATTTGTCTTGTGTTTTACCGGTTTTCTCATGCTTTTTCCAGGTTTTTCACATTTTCTGGGAAAACCGTTAGGGAAATGGAAAAATGATCTCCCTAAAGTACCTTTCTAATCAGGTTTCCTTTCAGAAAAAATGCTATTATTGTAAATCGGAGCAAGATTTCTGGTAGAAAAATTTGCCCAACCAATCGAGGGTATTTTTCAATTAAAATAGTCTGAGTGAGCGATAGCTGGATCTCTAGGTACATCTAAAATGCATTTGTTTTTTTCCTGTTTAGGTAAAAGGGAAAAATAAATGCCAAAATGTATCCTCTAAGCACGGGGTTTGAACTTGTGAACCCTAGGATAACACTAGGTATGTATAACCATTCAGCTACTACAAATATACTAAAGAATTGACAATATTAGGTTATTTAATCAATGCATATTACAGAATTTTTAAATTAGATATTAAAATAACCTTTTCTTTAAACATGTCATCTATAATAGTTTGTCGCATTTCAGTAAATTGGTCTTAGTTATATTATTTTTTATTTATAATATTTTTTTTATGTTTGATACAGATTACGAGAAACATAATTTTAATGTGAAACAAATTTGTTATTCTAATATTTATTTTTATTTTATCTATAGATTTTTCCAAGTGACATTACAAATTTTTGTCGACAGCAATTGAACGACATTGGATAATATGAAGTTCTTGCGCATTTTTTGAATATCAAATAATGATAGCCATTTTTCTAAAAGAAAATCCGACTGGGGAGGTACTTTAGAAAGATTACTATTCAATTTTTCAAAGAGTTTTCCAGTCAAATGTAAAATAACTAGGATAAAACATGGGAAAACCGAGGAAAACATAGGAAAACTGGACAAATCGGTACAACATTAAACAAATATTGTTGAAGAAAATGTAGAAAGCCTATTTAATTATTATATTATATACAATATAGTATATTGTTGACAAAGCCTCACTAACAACTGAACTCTGCTCAGAATTGTTTTTTCATAAGCAATGATGTACACATTAAATTACCTATAACAGTAGCTGTACCCGTCCCCATTATCCTAAGACGTTTTTTGTGTAAGTATCTCGTAAGAAAATTGGAAAATATATAAATGTTACATATACTTGAAATAAAATTTAATTTCCTATAAATCGTTATAATACAAACTTCTTCGTAATTCTAACTATTTAAACAAATATATTAACTTGTATACCTACTACAATGGTCCCACCATGTTAGACACATTTTTCCAGAGCTATTTATATTTTTCGATTTTTTTTTTTTTATTTTAATCGGTTTGTCTTCGAGGGGAATCTTCGATTTGGAGAAAAATGTAATTTTTATTCGCATCCCCTAAACACAAAAAGAAAATAACTTTATTTATTCTCTTTACAAAATTTTCAAAATAACAATTTTGTCAAAAATATTATTCTAAAAATTATAATGTATCACCCATTCATATTCGATGAATAGTTTCTATGTAACAGCCGTATTATTTTATTAATAATATTTTTAACGTATAATGTCATAAATCACTTCTAATAACATGTGCCACTTCATTACGCGATTACGCGATAGAAGAATATAAAAACTGCAACTTTGTAACGATAAAATTGATAAAAATGATGCGTACATGCGACGTCAGAAAGTTGGAAAACGCAAACCGCTATTTATCTATAACCATGATTAGGATGCCGCAACAAAATATTAAATTAGTGTAAAACCGTTTCATGAAAAAAAATAATAAGGTAACTTAAATTAGTAGGTTATTACTATAGTCAGTAACGTCATTTTTTTTTCTGTGTTAAATTCTATTAATTTAAATAAACCTTGAGCTATAATGAAGGATTTTGAGATGGCATTTAAAAGAAGACGACGATTTCATTGTTCGTCATCCAAAATGGATAAACGAAAGACTTGATGGCTTCAATGATCTAGGGACGTTTTGTTTTTCTTTTTAAATTTCGTCCCATCAGTCCCTTCTTGCATTGGATTACTTTGAAGTGATCGGTACCAAATTTCAATAACTTTATATTTATAGACTTTTCTAAGAAATCAAAAGCAGGTTCAAGTTTCCATACTTATTTGAAGTAATTAACTAATTAAATATTGGTTAACACACGAACTAACTAGAAATATCCAGTTGAAAAGTAATATGTTAATATATAATTGTAACATATTGTAATGATATCACCGTTATCAGATTACTTAGTTATTATATCAGTATATCCCGAGTACGAATGTTAATCATGATTAATAAGTATGAACACGATAATTTAGTAATAATTTGGCTGTTAGTGGAATCTTTATTATAACGGTAAAATTCAAACAAAGTTTACCGTGGTTAAATTGTTTGCTTACATTAAATTATGACTAATTATATCGCGATGTTACATTAAATTGCGTTTAATTAAATCACGATTAGTGTGTTTTCAGTGAAATCGGGCCTAAGTCAGTTAGGTTAATTAAATTAGTTCAAATAAGTTAGCCACCGGTGCCGCACATTCTTGAACACAATATTATACATTATGTGATACGCCAACAATGTCGCAATTTCTAATGGAGAAACAATATTTTGTCAAGGGTAATGTTAGGTAATGTTAAACCCTTTTACATCATTTTATAGGCTCCGTCTAAACAAATTTAATAACGTTAATAATAATAATAATCTGTCAATATCAAAGAAACAAAATACGCTTCATCCCGTCTGCACGCTAAATTTCGAAACACTTGTCTTCCAGTGACGTGAATCACGAGATTTAGATCTGGTCAAGACCAGACTATATTTTTACGGCTCCTGATAGGTAGAATTACTTTCCTGTGTATGCATATTATTTGAGCAAACAATTCGTACAAGTCGTGGTCTGGTATTTTAATACAGAATAGTAAAAAATCAAAATTTAATAAATATTATTTTATAACACGCAAATATGATAGATATGTGTAAGAAGTATGCAATGAAAATGACTAACAAGCAGGTATAACTACACAGTTTTCAATAGCAAGAAATTTTGATAAATTTAAATAAACATTTATATTGAGGGATAGGGATTTTGAGAACGAAACAACCCCACGCTTGTAGCTGTAAATAGATAAGAGTGATTAATGACTAAAAGGAATAATAACTAATGACTATTGACCAAACCATTTCAAAACTAATTGGGCGCCATTGCTCGGCCACCTCCCCCCCTTTTCCAGACTGCACTGCACTACATAATTTTTAGTATAACACATCGGGTATACATATTGTACGTAACTACGGAAAACACGCATAAACGGTTGTTACACGTATAATTCGTATCGTGATCGCCGGCCCTATATAATGTACGGCCGCGGCGTGGCTAAACGGGACGGACGCGGTGTTACTCGTGAGTATTGTTACGTGTGGTTTTTTTTTTTTTCCGTTGTTTTTGTTTTGTTTTTCCTACATGCAAATGTCAAGTGGGTACAAAATGGCGACGTAAAAAATAATTACACCACGTAATCGCGACTCTTTCCGCTACCACCACTGCTACCGCCGACGACGTCGTCGAATCGATTCCCACTCATCGTTACGTTGTACCTAGCGCGCATAACACACAAAGTAATATAACGAGCAATACATCGCACGGGAAATGGATATGAGATTTCTCTTCGTGTGCACGTATAATATAATCGAAACGCGTTCAATATATTTATATATATACTCGTATATATATATATATATATATATATATGACA